TGTTTTTTTTTTGGTTAGGATTGAGAGTGAAGTGCAAAATATTTTGCCTTGTTTTGGCAAGAAGCAGAAAATCATGCTGGATGGTTTTTGCTGCTGCTTTTTGACATCTCATGCCCATATATTTGAAATTTCAAATATATGGGCATGAGATGTCAAAAAGCAGCAGCAAAAACCAAAGCAAAAACCAAAGGATGTTTACTCCAAAGCAAATGGTCCTTTCTCTGTAAAAAAAAAAAAAAAGCAAAAAGAAAAGAAAAGAAAAGCAAAACTTTTGTATAGTATTTCTAAGGTTAAAAAAAAAATAAATCTCTAAGACAGGGGATCTTTTCCTTGATAATATCCTTTTACAAGGATTACTATTTTGGTGCACGTCTGCAAATTAGTGAGGTTTTTCAGTTCCATGTATTTATTTATTTTTTTAACTTTTTTGTAACTTTATTAATTTCCTGCTCTTTTGCATCTCTTTGAACTAAAAATAAAGCTATACCGTTTAAGATGGCTGCAAGCCGTAAGTAAATAAATAAATAAGGCATCTTCTTTGTTGCTTTAAAAACACAAGCTCACCTATCATTGTACTGTGACTGTCAGCAAAGAAGCATTATTAGGCCTTTTTGGTCCACTCTTTTATTTCTTCAGAAAAATTCAAGGAAAAGCAACTTTTTCCAGGTAACTGATGCCCTCTTTTGGTGAAACATAAAACTTCCTAGCCAACAGAAATTCAAGAGACACAGGGCTGCCTGCACTGAGGTCAGTCTGCAGGCAGTTATTCGTTGCATTTGACCGGGAGGAAAGTGTGTTGCACACCATGGTGCTGCAATAATACAACAGAGATTTATGACCTTAAAATAGCAGCTTGGTTCAAGGAAATTTCATGAGAACAAAAAAAAAAGCAATGCAAAGAGCCAACTTAGAACCAAGAAGAAATTTCTTGACAGTGAGAACAATTAATCAGTGGAATTGCTGGCCTCCAGAAGTTGTGGATGCTCCAACACTGGAGGTTCTTAAGAAGAGACTGGACAACCATTTGTCTGAAACGGTATAGGGTCACCTGCTTGAGCAGGGAGTTGGACTAGAAGACCTCCAAGGTCCCTTCCAACTCTGTTATTCTATGCTTCTCTTGCTGGTGCATTTAATGAAATTTGTTGTTGTTGTTAATTGCGAAGTCGTGTCCGACCCATCGCGACCCCATGGACAACGTTCCTCCAGGCCTTCCTGTCCTCTACCATCTTCTGGAGTCCATTTAAGCTCCCGCCTCCTGCTTCAGTGACTCCATCCAGCCACCTCATTCTCTGTCGTCCCCTTCTTCTCTTGCCCTCGATCTTTCCCAGCATTAGGCCAATTTATTTCCAAGGCAGGGGAGTGTTTGTTATTTATCAAACGTGTATAGCCGTCCATCTCACAAAGCAAGGGACGCTGGGCAGTGTACAATGCAGCTAAAATAATAAAAATATACAAATAGTAGGATTGTGTTGGACAGTTACTTATTCTACAGGCTGCTTCCAGGTATTAGAACCATCAATTGCATGAATCATGCCTTTTGAGGCCCGTTTCAAAGTTACGCAACATGCAGGAAATTCCAGAATATGTACAGGAATTGTGATTCTGCTATACTTTCATGCAATTGTGAAGATCTGCTTTCACGTGACAGGCTCTTTTTATTATGTTAACGGCTGTTGGGTTTTAGAATAGACTTATTTTTAAATAGATTATCTCTAGCTTTGGGGCTGTCCTTTGTCATGATTGTCCCACTTGTTAACAGGGGATGTTATTTTTAATGTTGGACAAGCAACCTAGAAATATCTGATGACACGCTGTTATTTAATGTTTTTGTTAAATACAGCCTCAAAGACAGCAAAAAATGCTCTCTTGGATGACTAAACCGATGCACCTAATCTGTATAGGCGGTCCTTGACTTACAACAGTTCATTTAGTGACCGCTACAATGGCACTGAAAAAAAGCAACTTATGACCGTTTTTTTCACACTTGCAACCCAGCATCCCCAGTCATGTGATCAAAATTCAGACGCTTGGCAACTGACTCGTATTTGTGACGGTTGCAAGTGTCCTGGGGTCACGCGATCTCCTTTTGCGACCTTCTGACAAGCAAAGTCAATGGGGAACCCAGATTCACTTAAGAACCGTGTCACTAACTTAACAGCTGTGTGTGCTTCGCTTAGCAACTGTGGCAAGGAAGGTCGTAAAATGGAGCAAAACTCACTTAACAAAAATCTCACCTAGCAACAGAAATTTTGGGCTCAATGGCAGTCGTAAGCTGAAAACTATCCGTGCGATAAGGATACAGTGGAATTTAAAACTGTTTTGGGAAGTGCACCACTACCTGTAAAAAAGGCTGCAGCTACCAAAAAAGCCAACACAGTGCTGGGCTGGATTAACAGAGGGATAGAATCAAGATCACGTGAAGTGTTAATACCACTTTACAATGCCTTGGTAAGGCCACACTTGGAATACTGCATCCAGTTTTGGTCACCGCGATGTAAAAAAGATGCTGAGACTCTAGAAAGAGTACAGAGAAGAGCAACAAAGATGATTAGGGGACTGGAGGCTAAAACATATGAGGAACGGTTGTTGGAATTGGGTATGTCTAGTTTAACGAAGAGAAGGACGAGGGGGGACATGATAGCAGTCTTCCAATATCTCAGGGGCTGCCCCAAAGAAGAGGGAGTCAAGCTATTCTCCAAAGCACCTGAAGGAAGGACAAGAAGCAATGGATGGAAACTAACCAAGGAGAGAAGCAACCTAGAACTAAGGAGAAACTTCCTAACAGTGAGAACAATTAACCAGTGGAACAACCTGCCTCCAGAAGCGGTGAATGCTCCAACACTGGAAGTTTTTAAGAAGAGACTGGACAGCCATTTGTCCGAAATGGTACAGGATTACCTGCCTGAGCAGGGGGTTGAACTTGATGACCTCCAAGGTCCCTTCCAACTTTTTTTATTATTATTATTATTATTATTATTATTATTATTATTATTATTATTATTAATTATTATTATTATTATTATTACTACTACTACTACTACTACTACTACTACTATTATTATTATTATTATTATTATTATTATTATTATTATTATTATTAAAGCACAATGGAAAATGTAAAAATATGTTCCGAGGTGATTTGGACTATTTAAATTGGGGCAGTTGGGAAGTATTCAACAGAATATAGGCTTGGAACATAATATTATGCACATACCTTGCTTATGTAGGGCTTAATATGCAATGTTGGCCTTGTGTATATTGTGGTTTATACTTAACCATGGCTTATCCAATAAACAGCGTTGCAACGGATGGAACAGTTAAACAATCATCATTACTTAAGCAACATGTGAAACAGAAAGAGATCAAAAGGGGACCTGTGGAAATAAGTCATTTATTTTGGACAACATTGATTTTAGAGAACAGGTTAACATTGGGAATCTACATTATCCATTGTCTACAAACATCTATGTTGTGTTTTAAGTAAAAAAAACAACAACTTGTTCTTAGGAATGTGTACAACAGAAAATAATATGCATTTAACATTGCCAGGAGTGGTAAAAACACACACATTTGTCAAACTCAGCTTATCTTAGAAGAGAAATGCTGCCATCTAGGATGACTCTTTATTTAATTCCTTATTAGTTCAGGCGTCCTCTCAAGTCAGGAACTTTGGTTTAGAGGACCAGGGATGCTGGGAGGATCTGGACTGAGCAGCTGTGAAAAGAAGAATAGCAAGACTTTAACTCACAAAGTTAACTCACAAAAACAGGGGCGGGCTGGCTTTAGGACATGATGCTCTTGAGCAGGGCTAGGCAACCTTGGCTCTTTTATGACTCGTGGACTTCAACTCCCAGAATTCCTGAGCCAGCATGGTTCCCAACTTTGAAGACCGATGCACTAATGCAACAAAACCATCTTCTTTGAAACTTAGGCATGAAGCATCACCCAGATTTGCCCGGCTCTCACCTGGTGTAGGCAGCAGGCCAGGTCTGCCCCCAAGCAGTGGCCGCTTTGTGGGCTTATGCGGAGGAGTGTGGTGCATCTGTCTTTTGCTGGTCTTTATAAGAAGAGGTGGAGGTTTGCCCTTTGGGCCAGCCAGCAGTGCTATAAAGGACAAACAGAAAACAGGATTTTATGCATAATGAGATAGTGATACCTTGGTGCTCATCGTTAATTGGTTCCGGGAGGTACGATGCATACCAAAAACGATAAGCACCAAACAAATGTTTCCCGTTAAAGAATAATATAGTGAGTCACAAAGCAGCTGACAGTGACAAGTTCTAGCTTGTGCATTGAGTACTAAACGAATGATGAGTACTGGGGCAAAATTCTTGGGTCAGGACTCACTGAATACCAAATGAGATGAATTTCAAAGCAGCTGAGCACCAAGATACCTCTGTGGGTAGCAGTGTCGACACACTGGATACAGTGCAAAGTTATATTCAAAAGGCAAGGTATATATGATTTCCAAGGGGGAAAAAAGTGTCCACCAGTTACAGGACAGTAATCAGGGATCCAGGCAACTGGTTCTTTTGGATCCAGAGACGATAAGCACGCCAGTGAATAAAGAAATGATAGATTTATGATTAACTCAAGCAAACAAATTTAAAAGCCTAGCATAAAAAAACACAGATACCAAGCAAGATGATACTCAACTTTCCCACCGGTTCCTTAATAACAATAGCCCAAGGATGCCCAATTTCCACAGTACCCACAGCTAGGATCGGTTCAGAAGCGCCCACCATCAGCAATAATCCCAAGGTTTTTAGCAAAAGCTGACCCCAGGGCATCATGGCCCTGCCTATAGTCAGGAGACTGCAAGACCTGGCCTTGAGTAGCTGGCACATGACTCTGGAATGGGAGCCGGAAATCTGAGACTCACAGATTGGTGCTTATGTCAAGATTTCTTCCTGCCCCTTCTTTCTTTTATTTGTATCCCGCTTTTTACTATTTTTACAAATAACTCAAGGTGGTGAACATATCCAACACACCTTCCTCCTACTATTCTCCATACAACAACAACCCCATAAGATAGGGAGTGACTAGCCCAAAGTCACCCAGCTGGCTTTCATGGCTAAGGCGGGATTAGAACTCAGTCTCCTGCTTTCTATTCCAGGTGTCTTATTCAATAAACTATTCAATAAACAAGAGTGGAAAACAAGCAAGTTAGCTCAGAATGAGCTCTAAACTTCTATACATTTCTTAATAAGAAGAGTAGAGTAGAGTAGAGTAGAGTAGAGTAGAGTAGAGTAGAGTAGAGTAGGGTAGGGTAGAAATATAGAATGGTTCTTATTGGCAAAGTGTGATTGGACACACAAGGAATTTGTCTCCAGTGCATACAAACATATTTATCACAACAAAGTGATAAATCATAAGACACAATCATAAATTATGAGTTACAAACAGCAAAGTGATAAAGTGTAAGATAACAGAATGTAATAAGAAAGAAGAGAAGAGCAACAGACAGCCCTACTTCATGGATAAATATCCTTAGAGATAAGGATATTTGGATAAATCCAAATTTGTCACTAAACTCCTTGAAACACAATGGTCTCCCATACTGCCACTACGATACTGTATTTTGAAGGGCCCACCTGGAGTGGGAAGAAGAGGCCCCAACGGTCTTTCGCCCAACAAAGCTGGCTTAGGCGAGGGCACCCCAGGCTGGCCTAACACAGGGGCTCGGCCAGGCGTTGGCAGCAGAGGTGGGGGCTTGCTCAGCGTCGGGGGGAGAGCGCTCCCGCTTGGCCTGACATTTGGAAACCCGGCGTCTTCACCTGCGGCGGCTAAAGCGTTCGTTTCTGCAACAAAACCTGGATTAGGAGGACCCAAAGTTAGCAAGGAAACAAGTCGATTAGCAAAACACTCAACGTGCTGCTTGCCCAGAAGGCAGCCTGGCTGCATATCCTAACATCCTCTCTCCCTCTGCCTGTTCGTTTGCGCAGGGAAAGACTTAGGAAATTTTAAGGGCGTGAGGGGGGAAAAAGTCATTTTTATAGGAGTCACGGAAGGGATTTGAAGTAGGAAATTGGGTAGGGTTATTGGCTTTTATAATATCAAGCAGTCGGGGGGGGGGGTGTTTCTACTTTTTCGCGAGGGTTAAAACATTTTTCACTTGCTCTAATTATACCTCGTAACGGGCGTTCGCCAGGTGAAAGGTGGCTGGGATCGGACGGCGGCACAGAGCAGTTACTCTTTTATGACGGCAGCTGGATGAAAGCAACGTTTGGGGGCCACAAACTGGGGCTCACCGGGAGGGTGCGTCGCAATCTCCTAAAGTGGGGAGAGGCTCTCCAATCCGAGCCAGGATAGGGCGGACAACATTTGGGCTCCTGTTATCATTAAGGACCGTATATCCCATGCATTAAGGACAAGTGGCACGTCTCCCCGTGCCCCGTGAATAGGGATGACACGTTCCCTACTCGCCTGGAAGGGCTTCATTTGGAAGTGCAAAGGACGGACAAAATATTCAGGCACCTGGGATAAGGATGAGCTGGGTACAGAAACAGACAACCTTGGTGAATCCATCTGAAGTAGCCGCCCCACTTCCCAGAGGAAGAGGCATTACCCACAGATACGTGTTATCAAGCTGCAGCCCTTCGCAAGGAAGTCTCATTTTAACCATGTTGGCGTTCATGCACGAAGTGTGGTTTTTCTTTTTTCTTTTTCCAGGTCTGAGAGAGGACGGGATGTTAACTTTCACACTGGGTGTTTTCTGATTATTATTATTATTATTATTTTAACACCGAAGGCCCCCAAGAGGTTATTCTGAGATTGTGGGTGGGATTTAGAGGGTATTGTTTGAGGAAGAGATGAGGGGGCGGGGCGGGGTGGGGTGGGGACATGTAATACCTTCAAGCTTATTTCTCCTGGTCTTCAGGTAGTCACTTATTGAGTTCAATTCTTCCGCATATAAATGTTTTCCCTCACTTAACAGAAAGAGGAGGTGTCTAATGCCTAGAGGCACATGGTAACTCTCAAAAATCTCCCGTTCTAGGTAGTCATCCGCCAGATCAGCTGCTTTGTGGGAAATCTCTGCGTGCTGCTGTTGTTCATGCTCAGCAAAAATTTTCTGAAATTCTTTAGCTATCAGAGCCAGGGCATCCTCCATGGGCATATTACGGTGTACTACAGAGAAGAGAGATACCTTTGCTTTTTAAAAAGTTACATCCAGACAAAACCAAAACACAAAAGCGCCGTGTTCTTGCGCCATTCCGACTGCGGAGCTAGAAAGCTGCCTTCGGACACAAAAGGCTAACTTTTCACGGAAGGCTTTAGGTCCAAAATCCAATACAAACACGCCCGTTTCTATTAACTGTAGTGGGGGCGGGGTGGGGTGGGGATTCAACTATGAGCTTCTGGGTGTGTTGAATTAATTTCCTTCAGTGGGAATGGTTTTGTAAAACCACCTCTGGAAAAAGAGGGACAGAGTAAAGAAGTGAGTGAAATTGTCATGTCCTTTTTAAACGCAGGAAAACAAATTCCTACCAGAACAGTCCCAAGTTTTCGATGAGATAAATTTCGGATGAAGTACATTTTGCTGGATGCGGGCGTGGGGCACGACTAATGAATTCTTAAATTGTTTTACCGCTCTTCGGCACATTCAATTGTGTTTCGAAGAGGTTAGTTTTGATGTGTTTTAATATGAGGAGGAATGGATCTAAGGAGAGCATTGTCGAAATGGGACCAGTTCTTAAGGAAACTAAACTTACTTTTGATAATCTGATGAAGCATGATTACGGTGCATGAGCAAAGTGTTACATTAGATGGTTCAACAAGAACGCAAAATGGAGAACCATCGTTTTTAACTTCCTGGAGGGCGCGTGTAAGACCTGATTCAGAAGTAAGGTATATCATTTCCACCACAAGGCCATGATCCTGCAACCGATGGCCTATGGCTGTTGAATATTCCCTTGAAGGAAAAAAACAAAACAAAACAAAACAAAAAACAAAAAACAAAGAAGCAGGTTATTTTACAAGTAATTCAGAAAAATATATTATTAGTGCCAATGTCCTAGTAAGGGTCATTTTTTTGTGTGCGGCAAGAAAACTCGAAAATATTCAGTGAGATAGATTAAGGGTGTGCTTTTCTGCCGAGTCACCTGACACAGAGGGGCTCTTGTTTTATTAAAGGTAGGTTTAAGCAGTCATAAAACTTCCAGGTATACAGAGAAGAACCTCAGTGCGAGCCAGACATTTCCCAATTGCTTACAGAAAAGGTGAGATTAAATCTGTAGGGGGGAAAAAAGGGGAGTTGATTGGGTCATACAGTATCCTAAGTTTTATGGTTTTAGGCTTTGACCTCTGCAGACAGTGAGGTTCATCAATAGGGTATTCTCAAGGTATGAGCTGATCAATGGCCATGCTGATTGAGAATTCTGGAGATCTGGAGAGTGACAGGTGGGAAAACCAGGTCTCTATATTTACATTTACCTATTGTGGGTACAGAGATTTGGGGTTAAACTTCCTTGGTGGGAAACACAAGATTTCCCCACAATATCAAACTGACTGGTGAAGCCCTTGTTTATATGAACTTCCACGTATGTTAAGCTCGCTTGATTAGATCGGATTGGGGCTACCTGGACTTACGTCTCGCAAACACTTTGCAGTGATTGAATTGCGTAAGGACAGAGCATGTCTAAGTGGCTTCCATTTCAACAATAATTGCAAGGGAATCTCAGGTGTGTATCCATGAGAAACTGCTTAGTATTTGTGAATATTTGGGTAACGTACGTAAACAAGATTTTTGCATGTAAAGTGATCTCTATGCATGTAGATTTACATGCATGTAAAGTATGCATGTAGAAATTATTTAATAATAGCAATTAGGGCTCTCAAAGAACAGCCCAAAAGAACTCTGCTTTCTTTTTTCAGATTTGAAATAGATTAGTTTAAAAGTAAACAAATATGAAGCAGCAAATATTACACTACGAAGCAATTTTTAAAAATGAGCATCTTATTCGGATTTTATAGATATTTTTCACGTACTAGCACTTTTACAGAATTGCTTGGCAACCAGGCTTTTATTATGGGTCATTCCATGCTCTTTCTGGACAGAAACTCACTTTTTTAAGGCTGCAATGTTACTTTATGGAAAATTCGATCGGCACGGATGCCCAAATTTATCTAAATTAGATGTAATTTATCTAATCGGATGAAATGGAAGTCAACAATTTCAAGTAATTGGCACTTTTACCTATGCTTTATAGCAATTTTGCATGCCATGTTTTAGCAGGCTCTTTCTCGAAGAATAAATCATTAACAAAATTTACAAAATAGTTTGTATTTTGCCAAACCCAAAGATTTACTCTAAAGATGTACTCTAGATTATATGAATATTTTAAATAGTTGCATTAACATCTCATCTGAGGATATGAACATGGGAGACTAACTATGGACAAATATTTAATGGAGATGTTTGTAGAACAGAAAGCAAGGCGGCCAAGGGTTTGGGGCTTAGACTGCATGAAAAGGTTTAGCATGAGATGAACAATCACCACCTCCAGTTTATCTTGCATGCTTGCTATGAAAAGAGCAAACAGATGAAAGGCAGAATTTTTTTTTTTAATTCACACTTTGGATGGGAAATTGGAAAAGAGAACGGAAGTATTTTACCAAAAACAATTCAGGCTTCAGGTGTCATTTTGGCAATCTAGTATCAAGGAAAAAAAATGGAAGCAGCCCCGTAGGTCGTTCTTACAGCATTGCTAAGCAATCGATGAGAGCGATTCATCAAAATTGCAGTGACAATTAATTTAGCAAAGACGTACAACAGTGACACTCAAATAGAGACTGCCGCTATTTTTTGCTGCTGATAATGTGCTTGATGTTGTGTGGAGAACAGCCTTTAGGGAATGACTGAGAATGCAAATTAAGAAATCCTGGTTAAGGTTAATACTACAAGAATTAGAGGGAAATGACAAAAGGGGGACAAAAGCCGAATCAAAGCAAGCGAAACTCTCAAAAGTTCAAGATTAAGCAAAGGTGGAGACAGCATGTTTGCCTTAAATTGATGTGTGTGTTTTATATTAGAAAGTCTTCAAGGAAAAAAAAAATCCTCAGAGACGCTAAGCACTTTTCTGTGAAAATCTGCAAATACGGGGGGCTTTTTTTTCCAGGAACTGCGTAAGAGAAATAATTGTTATTTTAAGTAGCAAGACGAAATGTTCAATACCGAACGCTGAATTTATGACCCTCGGTGAATTTCATGGCATTCAAAACCAACTGAAAGGAACGGAGAGGGGACGACGTGGCTAATCATTATAAACTTCCGTCGTGTCAAGATCAAAATTACGCTTTTTCAGTTGGCTTCGTTCAATGACAGAGCTTAACACTCAAGTTTTACCTTAAAGAATGCTCAATACCATTACCCACAAGACTTATGTTGATATTCAACTTATATTTGGGCAAAGAAGAACAAGGGGCCACGTTAAAATGGTTCTTTAAAAAACACCGCACGATAATCCATACATATGCGCGTTTAGAATATTTCACAGGCAAAAGAGAGAGGTGGATCTTAGTTTAAATGGACGTGGATAGGCATGAAAAACCACAGGTGACTGTACAATCTAAATAGTTTCCACACCCCTTTTAGAGAGATCTCCCCATTAAGTAAAACAAACAAACACGTAAGAATCGGTACTAAACTTACGATCATCCTACAAGAGCTACAACTACACTAATTAAGTCCTACCAAACCCAATAGGACTGACGCCCAAGTTACAAGGGACAGAAGGAAATCAAAATATTTTAACATTTTAAGTTTCCCACTCATGAGAAACAGATGCCAAAAATGTAATATAGGGGGTCTCTATAGCGGGTGGGAATAATGGGGGGCTGAGCCTATTTTACTATTTTTATTCAACTCTCTAAAGCAGCGGTGGGCAACTATGGCGCCTTTATGACCTGTGGACTTTATGACCTGTAGACCATGCTGGCTCAGGAATTCTGGGAGTTGAAGTCCACAGGTCATAAAGGTGCCATAATTGCCCACCCCTGCTCTAGTGACTTATTCTGGGACAGTTCTAAGAAGAGGAGTTTACGAGAAAAATGTGGTGGGGTGGACGAATGTTCTTTTCTCCATGCAAATGAGGTTGCAAAATTTAGAAGTATATTTCTGTTGCTCGGTCATGCAGAACAGCTATGTACCGCCCCCGTTGCTTTTGGTCGCTTCAGAAACAAAATAGGAAAATTAAGATCTCTAAAAAGAGTTAACCACATTGCTAAAAGTGAAATTAAACGGGGAACTGTTGGGTCAAAGTGCAGTGAGGCGTCGGTAACTGCGCCTTGAAAAACAAAGACGAAAAAGACCTACGCTTGATCCTTGCTGATGGAAACGATGACACAGTCCGAAGCTCTTTCTCTCTTATATGCCTTGTCTATCTGCTGGTAGAACTCCATGTACAACTTATCGCGATGAACATCCTTGGTGTGGCCGTCATCTAAAGATATAAGCAGGTAATCAGATTGAGATAGATAGATAGATAGATAGATAGATAGATAGATAGATAGATAGATAGATAGATAGATAGACGGACGGACGGACGGACGGACGGACAGACAGACAGACAGACAGACAGATCAAAGAGCAACGAGGCTCTTGAAAAATTCAGTATCTGGGAAGGATTCAAGACTGTTGTCTTGGCTGAACAGTAGCAAGTACTATTAAAAGCTGGTTCCCACACTGATAAAAATGGTTCTGTAAACAGCCAGCTTTAAGTTTCTTTGTTCTCAATGAAAAGATTATATGTAGCTCAGGGCTGAACTGTGGTGCTGTCTGAGCTTGGTTGTCTTTCGCTTTTGCAGACGTTTCATTACCTGACCAGGTAACATCATCAGTGCTGGGTGAGTTGTCAGGTTTAACACCAGACAAACTATCAAGTAATAAATACCCTAATCAAGGAGCTACTAAGGCAGGGGTGTCAAACTGCGGATGCATCATAGCGAAACTGCGCCCACCCCATTGCCGGCAATGGCAAAAAAATCGTGATACGTCTCGTGGCACGTCACGTGGCGTTGCGAGTTTGACACCCCTGTGCTAAGGTGACAAACAATTATGCAGACCAACAATCAAGCAGAGAACAATATCCTAATCAAGGAGCTGCCAAGAAAACAAGATTTCCACCAACACTGGAGAGCAACCACTGTATATAAACTCACCAGCACTGGTGATGTTACCGAGTCGGTTACCGAAACATCCATAAGCAAACAAACCAAGCTCGGGGAGCATCAAGGACTCCACAGAAAAGGCTAATCTTCCTCTTGGGAGGCTATGTGTTTGGGATAAATTGGTACTACGCAGAAAATATTCAGTTGCTGAAATTCTTGCCGCTCTACCCCATTTCTTTCCATAAATCTTAGTAGAGAAAGGCCTGCTTGGAAATAAATACTTCTGATATTTCTTCAGCTGCCAGAGAGAACCCAGCTGGATTGAAATGCAAAACTGAAATGCAAAGCATTTGGAGGAGCAAGCACATTCTTTCTGCAGTTTATTTCAAGCAAGGCTTACCTTTCTGACAGGACTGGTATCTCTCAAAAGTATCTTCGTTGTCCGTGGATGGATGATACTGCTGCCCAAAAAGTTCTTCAAAGCTTTAAGCCAAAAATACACAAGAACTAGTTTATCTCCCCCTTAAACAAAAGACCACAAAACAAAAGACCACAACCACAACCGATGATTTATTTCAGAGAAGGCAGGGGACTGTATTGTTTCAGCAGTACAGAATAAATGTCTTATCGTTCAGTTCCCTCTATTATTCTCTGCCTTGAACAATTGAAGTGAGTGTGGAAGGGAAAAAGATCCTTCTCACCTGTTGCCATCCTCAAAGTCCTTCGAATAACCGTCTGGGGGAGAGTAAGAACTCTGCTGAACGGTTTTGTAAGGATTTATGCTACAAGGAGCAAAGATATGGGTGTTAAGGATTGACCAAAGAATTTGAACATAATAAACGTTTAGACCAGGGGTAGTCAACCTTGGCTCTTTTATGACTCGTGGACTTCAATTCCCAGAATTCCTGAGCCAGCTTAGCTTAGCTGGCTCAGGAATTCTGGGAGTTGAAGTCCACGAGTCATAAAAGAGCCAAGGTTGACTACCCCTGGTTTAGACTATATAATGGCAAGACGACCATTTGGGGGCATTTGGAATCCAATTTTAGACTTTGCAGAATAAGATCTGAAACATCTTTTGTCTGGTGCAATACTGACGGGAGACATCCAGAATAGCTATTATTATTATTATTATTTTGTCAATTCAGCATTAACAAAGACCCCAGCAAAGAAAAGGAGAGATCCTGGGGTTTTTTTTCTTCTCCCCATTCCAATATCAGCAAATTTCTAGAGAGTTGGGATGACATGAGAGCATCTACCACCACTGCAGGAAAGATCTCTTTGTCATTGCAGGCCATGCTAATAGAAGAAATATGACAAATAGGGGACAAGGACATGGCATGGGGTAGTGTATATTATTATTATTATTATTATTAATAATAATAATAATAATAGTAATAGTAATAATAATAATAATAGTTGGAAGGGACCTTGGAGGTCATCTTGTCCAACCACCTGCTCAGGCAGGTAACCCTATACCATTTCAGACAAATGGCTGTCCAGTCTCTTCTTAAAAACTTCCAGTGTTGGAGCATTCACAACTTCTGGAGGCAGGTTGTTCCACTGGCTAATTATTCTAACTGTCAGGAAGTTTCTCCTTAGTTCTAGGTTGCTTCTCTCCTTGATTAGTTTCCACCCATTGCTTCTTGTCCTGCCTTCAGGTGCTTTGGAGAATAGCTTGACTCCCTCTTCTTTGTGGCAGCCCCTGAGATACTGGAAGACTGCTATCCTCCCCCCCTCCCGTCCTTCTCTTCGTTAAACTAGACATCCCCAATTCCAGCAGCCGTTCCTTATATGTTTTAGCCTCCAGTCCCCTAATCATCTTTGTTGCTCTTCTCTGTACTCTTTCTAGAGTCTCAATATCTTTTTTACATTGTGATGAGCAAAACTGGATGCAGTATTCCAAGTGTAGCCTTACCAAGGCATTGTATTACAAACAAAACATCCCCCCCTCTCCTTGCATCCATCCATCCATTCTTGTATCCATCCACAAATCCATCCATGCACCAACCCATTTATCCATCCATGCATCAATCCATCCATCCATCCGCCTTTGTTAAGAATCCTATCACGCTGTTATGGACAGATTCGGCTTTCAATCAAGAGCAGAAATGGTAACGTAATTACTTACTCCAGAAGTCGAGGAATCCACCCCGGTCTGTGCCTGGAGCCAAAAAGAAAAGCCAATTAATTTATGCTAAAGTTAACAGTAGTCAGCGCCATTGTTAAAAGTACTGATTGTCTCTGAATGTGGACTGTATCTTAAAAAGGTTGAAGACAAGACTGAACCTGGGCATTCTACCCATCGGTTCTCATGCTGCCAGTTGATGGATCAGCTGCCATTCTGAGTGGACTTTATGGGCAGACCCATGTAGAACACAGTGCAATGTCTCAAGTGGGAGGTGACCAAGGCATGAGTGACCATGAACAGGGTCTCCTGATCAAGAAACGGCTGTACCTACGCAAGGACCAATCTAGTGCTCCTTTGTTGGAGGGCAGATGCTGGTGTGATGTTTTCAGTTTGTTGACATTGCTATTTGTTCTTCTTTTCTTTGTCCCAGGCTGGTTTTAACTGTTCTTTGTTTTGGTTACGCTGTTTTTTTTAATATTGTTTTGATATATAGTGAGCCATCCAAAGCCATTTGGAGTTTTGTGACATCAGACCAAACAAAAATGATATGCTAGACTTGCAAAGGGTTAAGAAAGAACTTTTCTAATCATGTTACAGCATTAAAAGAAGAAGAAGAAAATAAGCTGGAATGCTGTTGAAAATTGCAGGGTGATTTAATTCCTTTAAAGCAAATGCTGAGCAGTCTTTTTAAAATCTCAGAATCGTACGACAGATAACCAAGATCTGTTCTGCCAAACTTTCTCTCCTTACAGATCAGCTGAACAATCTAATTATTCTAAACATTTTGCTTAAGCTGCTAGCTTTGGACCCACCGAGATATGGAGAAACCAATTAAAACAAAACAAAACATAAAAAAACCCCTCAAACTGGCTGGCAGATGTACAGTCTGGAAAGATTTGTCAAGGAGCAAAGGCAGCATAAGGACAACAGCTGCCTGTTCTTGCCTCATTTACTGTTAACTATTTCTTAGGCGCAGATAAAACTGAATTCGGTTACACTGATTAACTATGAATATGAGATGCAGCACATTAAACCCTTGAGCAAGATCTGAAGTATGTTATGCCAACAAAGATACAAGCACGAAACCCAAGATGGGGTTTATTACAGCCAGACACTGTTGTGGCGCTAAGTACAGTAAACAGTTTCAATTCTTTAGCCTAAAAAAATTCATTTCTATTATACTATACAGGTAGTCCTCAACGTATGACCACAATTGAGCTCAAAATTTATGTTGCTAAGTGAGACATTTGGGTTGGCCCATTTTATGACTTTTCTTGCCACATTTGTTAAGTGATCGCTGCCGTTGTTAAATTAGCAACATGTTTGTTAAGTGAATCTGGCTTCCCCACTGACTTGGCTTTCAGACGATCACAAAAGGGGATCACGTGACCCAGGCACACTGCAACCTCATAAATACAAGTCAGTTGCCAAGTGTCTGAATTTTGATCACATGACCATGGGGAGGCTGCAACGGTCATAACTGTGAAAAACGGTCATAAGTCACTTTTTTCAGTGCCGTTGTAACTTCAAACGGTCACTAAACGAACTGTTGTAAGTCGAGGACTTGTAACTGGTGTAGACCAGACCCTGTAGATGAACTAGTAGCACACTCAAACAACCAGAAGATAAGATGGAAATATTTCCATCTGTAATGAGCAGCTTGTCCAAGGAATATTCCATAAAGACCAACACCATTTGCCAAAAATCAAAAACAGAGATATATAGGTTGCTATAGGTAGTCCTAGCACCTACATTTCTATATAATATTCATATCACATTATGATATGAAAGTGTCAACATATAGACAGTAACCATAGATGGCATGCAAATGTTTCAGGGTCAATATCTGCGATTTTCAGAAATTCTGGGGAAAAGAACAGATCTGAAAACGAAGGCAGCTGCTGCCCATCAACGTAAACAACAATCTGACTTAATGAGGCAGCCGGATTAATTGCCTGGGTGGCCATATTGCTTTGAATTTGCCACTGGCATCTCTCTGCCAAACATTTTGATTGTGTTATTTATTGCATTTGTATCTCCCCTATGAAAGCTCAAGGCAACCAACAAATCTCCTCTAGCACACAATTGAGAACTGAGAGTCACTGATTTAAAATCAACCAGTCAGTTCTGTTCCTTCTGCAAAGTTTTGCTGTTAAAGTTTTGTTGTTGGTAAGGAACAGAAGCAGATATTGGAAGCATAAATACTTTGGCTACCAAATGAGAAGATTCCTTGGAAAAGCCCTTGATGTTAGGAAAGCTTGAAGGCACAAGCAGAGCGATGAAATGGCGAGGTAGTGTAATTGAGGCAATAAACATGAATTTGGGCAAACTCCAGGAGACACTGGAGTTGGGGGGGGCAGTGGGGGAGGTGAGAGGTGCTGGAGTGCTATAATCCATAGGGTCATGAAGAGTTGGGCACAACTTAGTGACTGAACCACAGCAACACAATTCTTTGATAACTCTTGATTCCAGCTGAAATGGAATCCGGATTGAAAAACAAGGGTAAGCCAGGTGTTGGTACTAAATTAGACATACCAGCTTGCATGGGAACAGCAAGCCCAGAATAATTTGTTAAGCTTGGCAGCCATACAAATTGCATGAATAAATAAATAAGCAAGCAACCAAACAAGCAAACTAAGATGATAGGTTTAGATGGGAGGCACAATTTCTTGTTTTATGTATTTATTCACATGAACAGAAAAACAAAGAACAAATAGGTAACACAAAAAAAAGCACACGGATAGTTAGGCAGGATTAGCTGTGAATTTGGGCCTGCCATCAGCAGCAAATGTAGCTACTAACCAAAGTAAAGAAGGAAACCAGGATTCAATGAAAATTTAAAGGGCTAAATTTCACACAGAATTCTCAATGATTTAGTCAGATTTATATCTTATATGATTAAATGCAAAGATCAATGTTCAGTATTTAGTTTGTATCCATCAAGTATAGGCTGCAATTTTTTTTAAAAAAACTTTTGAACTGAGTGTAAAAAAATATAGAACACATTAACATTTTTACACTACAAAAATGGGAGTCTGAGATTAATAGATAGATAGATAGATAGATAGATAGATAGATAGATAGATAGATAGATAGATAGATAGATGTGTCTTTTTTAATACAAACACACAGAGGGATGTTTTTAAAACTAGAGGAAAAAGAACATAGATCACTGTGTTTTTTACCTGTTTTCAGGATCAGGTGTTTGTGCTTGATCTGTGTTTGCTTTGGCCCATGAAGACATTTTAGTTTCTAAATTAAAAAAGAAAATCTAATTTAAAAAAATAGTTTCAAAATATTTCCAGAAGAAAATTTATATCTGAAAACCTTCAGAGTGATAAGCCACTTAAGAAGTTTTTTTTGCCAAAGTACTACTGTGTTATAAAAAAATTGAAAGTCAAAAAGTGGAAACATTTGAGTCCCTTAAAAATGTTGCTTTGCTTCATGAAATTAAACTCTTTCCCTTCTCTTAATTGCCCTTACAGTGTTATGGCAGAATGCCAAGAAGCAACAGAGTATGGGGTTAAATGGACTTGTCCATAATTAACATTTTTTACAAGAAAAGATTTCCCACAGGAGAGATAAAAAAAATCTGGTGCCTTCTACATATTTTAAACTACCATTCCTACAATTCTTTGTCTGGGTCATAAAGTCTAAAACATCTGGGGGACATCAGGTAGAATTTTCCATTTTTGTTCTGCCACTTTTTGTTTTTGTATCAGGTTATTCATTTTTGAGGGCATAATTACAAGGCTGATGTGACAGGTAAATTTATTTTTGCATTTCCCTTATGGTGTATTGCTAGCTTGAGTTATTTGGAAAGGTTGTTTGCTCTGTTCAGAAGCCTTCACATTTTTTGTGCTAAATATTCTTGGGAATATAGTAGACCCCAAAATAAGGGAATGTGCAGCAAACTTTAAGTTTCTTCCATCTCAGTGATTCTAGAGCTCAGATAAAGGATACACTGCAGCTTCCACCACAATAGAAACACCACAAACTCATTTTGTTTCTCTAGAGACTTTTGCCTTAACAATATATACAATTATAGACTACCTGTTCAACATAATTATATATAATAGTGGGAAAAATGCAGTGAGGCATAAATTGTGGTATTGTGGTGAGAACATTTTGGAGGTCTTGCAAAGAGCACAAGGGAAGGTTCAATTGATTTATTGCTAAAAGTGGGACTATTCTCAGCTTCTCAACACAGGAATCTTTTCAACCTGCTTAGAGGGCTCCTTTTCCTACAATAGGCACATAATATAATCCCATCAAATATATCAATAAAGTCAGATTAGAGTGAAAATGGGGATGCAAAATCATTGATCCTCAAGGTGACTTTCTGTCCCTTTATCCTTTTCCATGGGATGAGAACTTGGGTTGTTTTCTTGCAGACATCTCATTACCCAAACTAGGTAACCTCATCAGTGCTAGTAAGGAGTACGGTTTGCTGTCAGTTTATATTCTACTGACTTGCCCTGTCAGTGGGGGTGGGGTTGGTCTTAGACGCTCTTTGGTTGGGCTGTTTACTGTTGGCTTCTTTGGAAGTTCCTTGATTGGGCTATTGTTAACTTCTTGATTGTCTTTCTCTGATGTTAATCTTGGAGCTAATCTATGCTCATCGGGGTACTGACTGCTTCCCCAGCAGCAATCAGCATCCAGATGAGCACAGATTAACTCCAAGATAACATCTGTCCAACAATGAAGTAGACAATAGTTGGCATAAGATAAATTAAGAAATACAAGAAAAAAATTAAGCATATAAATTAGTTTTATCCCACTAAAGACAAAGTAAATAGAAAGTTACAGCTTAATGTAACTGAATACAAAGTTACATCTTTTTTAAACAAAGTTAAAAAAAGATGCCTCTATATGTTGTTGTTGCTGCATTTACAGTATATATAGCCTACTTAGGCAGTCCTCCTTCTCCCTTTCCCTCCCTCCTTCCTCTCTATAGTTGTATACTGTAATTATATATGCTCACAGACACAAACATGTTATACACACTCACTCACTCAATAATTGTGGCAAACATACACACTTAGATGCATTCTCTCTGTATGAGTACACACACACACACCTAGAGACATTCCCTCTGTGTGTATCATGTAGTTTGTACTGTATATCATATTTATTGTATGTAGGTATATGTAGGTATATGTACGTATGTATGTATACACACACACACACACCTAGAGACATTCTCTCTGTATATATATCACGTAGTTTGTATTGTATACCGTATGTATTGTATATAGGTATATGTATGTGTGTGTATACACACACACACACCTAGAGACATTCTCTCTCTACATGTGTCTTACATAGTTTGTATTGTATACCGTATTTATTGTATGTATGTATGTATATGTATGTGTATACACACACACACACGTATACAAATGTTACACACACAAACTACGGCAAATTGAATGGAGAGCAGACACGCATTATTTACACACACACACTCACACACACGCAGACATGCATTATTTACACACACACACACACACACAAGTATACAAATATTATACACACTCAATAACTACGGCAGACAAACTGAATGTAGCACAGACACGCATCATCTACACACACACACACACACACAGATTATCTCTCTGTATGTATGTATGTATGTATGTATGTATGTATGTATGTATGTATGTATGTATGTATGTATGTATATTTATATAAACACACACACAAGCTCGGCCACGAAGCCATCTGCGCCAACTGCCTGGCGAGGCCTGCTTCCTCCTCTCCCCCTCCGCGGCCGCTCCCGCCAACCAACCGCCCACCCGCCCCTCCTCGGCCCCTTCCCAGGCTCGCTCCCCGGCGCCCCAGCAGACCCCCTCCCGGCCCCGGCCGCCCCTTCCCCCCCGCTGCCCCGCCCGGGCCCCCCAGGCGCCCCTCCGCCCCGCCAGACCCACCGTCCTCCTCTTCCTCCTCCTCGCTCTCCTCACGGAGCCGCTGCGACCCGCGGGGGGGGGGAGCGCGGTCGGTGGGCGGCGGCAGAGTGGTAAGGGTCAGTCGGTCCCGCCCATTCGGGGTCCTCCTCTTCCGGGAGCGGCGCATCCGGCCCTCAGCGGCCTAGCGAGGCCGAGCAGGCCTGGCGCGGTTTCCTAGGCAATGGCGGCTGGCTTTGCCGAGGCGATAGGAATGTCGGGAATTGTAGTTCAGGCAAGCGCTTTCCCAACCTAGCGTGTTCCCTGGAAGCGGGACGATGAAGGAACTAAGGGAGGGAGGGAGGGAGGGAGAAAGGAAGAAAGAAAAGGCGAAAAAAGGAAGGAAGGAAGGAAGGAGGAAAGAAAGAAGAAAAGAAAAGAAAGAAAAATTGTTAAAACGTTTTCAAACGCTCTTAAAAACTTGGAGGACCCCTGGAACCAAGCAGGGAAAGGGAGGGGGAAAAGAGCGTGCAAGCTGCGCGTGCGCATTCCTCTTTGCCCGTCCCTTCAGCCGCTTCCAACTTCTTGCCCAGAGGGGGGTGGACCCAATGGCGGCGAGGCTTGTTGGGCGACGGGCGGAGTCTGGGCGAACGCTGCCCAATGGGAAGCGCCGATGATGCGAGGGCGGTGAAGGAAGTTCGAGAGCTTACGTCGGGCGCCGGAGGAGGGAAGCTCCCGGCTTTGCGAGGCGGTGGGCAGCTGGTCTCGGAGCGCTCTCGTCCCCCGCCGTCCGAAGCGATGAATTCGCTGGAACAGGCGGAAGGTAAGGCAGGTGAGGATGGGTCCCGGCCTCCTCGCCTCGTTCCAGGGCTGGTGTATCTCGTTATCCCACGTCCCGCCACCCAGAGGTCCCCAGCCTTCCCCAACCTGGCGCCCCCCACATCTGCTGAACTGTCATTCTCACATTTACTGCAGACGTGTGTGTGTGTGTGTGTGTGTGTGTGTATGGATATGGATAGGTAGGTAGGTAGGTAGGTAGATAGATAGATAGATAGATAGATAGATAGATAGATAGATAGATAGATAGATAGATAGAGATAGACAGACAAATGAGATAGATAGATGGATGCATGGATGCATGCATGCTCTGGGGTGGTCACAGTTCATCAGGTCTAGTTCATCCCCACCAACTTGCCTGGTGAGCCTGTAGGGAGGGGCCAGATGAATGGCAATTATTTGGACCATTGTGGTGGTTGATAGATTTATAACAGATCCCATTTGTGCTCTGAATATTATTAATTATCTTCTTTCCCCTTTTATTGGTATTATGGTTTGTCGCACAGTCCACCAGACATTCAGATTGAATTTGGTGCTTTTTGTCTACCTATTGAGTCGTTTCCAAGGACCTAATTATTATTATTGTTATTTCTGTGGCAAGTACACTGAGTGCTTCTGTACCGGAGACAAATTTATTGCGTGTCTACTCACACTTGGCCAATAAAGTATTCAGTTCAGGGCTTACCTGCATTGGATGGGATTGTATTATGTGCCTGTGTCATCATCATCATCCAATTTTACAAAAAAATGTTTATCTTTATTGGTACAACACAGTTAAGTCACGGCTAGAATGAAAACAAAACAAAACAAAACTGCAGGGACTTATCCAGGTAGGGGCAGGAAGTCAGCACTAGCTTAAAAGCACACAAATGTCCTTTGTAGACCTTGTGTTGTAAAGGAGTTTCCATGGTTTCAAAGTGCTAAATCTAAATTCTAAAGCAGGCTTTGACTAATCCGGTTATTCACTCTCATTTTTAGATCTCAAGGCTTTTGAAAGAAGGCTAACTGAATACATAGCTTGTTTACAACCAGCTACTGGACGCTGGAGAAGTAAGTGACAGGCCTACCTCCCAATTAAATGCTTGATCAAATTGTTCCTATCTGTGTCTTTAGGAAACTCATTTTGAAAAGCTATGTGATGGAAATGTGCATGATTTGGTAAAGTTTATTATAATGACTATGCTTGCAGTTTACAATATGGATGATTTTTGCTTAACAACTACTGGGAAAAAAGTAGTTAAATGGATCTGGTCATGTGGTGACCTGCATTACAACCTTCATAATATAAGACCGTAATTGGCAGTATCCATTTTGGTTATAAGTCAAGTTGTTACGGATTATTCCCAATGTATTGTATGTAACGACATCATTTTTGTCCTTTCAATTTTCCTCCAGTAATTCTTATAGTGGTATCAGTCTGTACAGCCACTGGTGCTTGGAACTGGTTAATAGATCCTGAAACACAGAAGGTGGGTTAAGTCCTTGCATTTTAATTTGCTATATAGATTCATGGAAGATATTTAGGATATTTTAGCAAGCATTTTAGACTGTCTGGAAAATTGCTATGTTTCTCTTCTAACATTAAGTGGTGCCATTACTGTCAACATAGCACTTTCGCTTCTCAAAATACAGTCTCAATACTGCACATTCTAGAAGCATGTCTGGAGCGTCATAATTTGGGATCTTTTAGATTCGATTTCAGAAGCTAACAACTAGAATCTGTCTACATTAAAAAAATCAGATTGCTAATCCCTATGGTAGCAGAGAAAAATTAGAAATTAGGTTTACTGCTTTTTGCCAAGAATTTGCTTAGAAGGAAATTGAAAGTACAGTAGGGATTTTCACTTCCTTACAGTTTTTTTTCTGTTCTGTTTTTCAGTTTTGTGTTTACTCATCCAATGTAAGAGTGCTTTTCTTAAAATAAAAAGTTGTTTGATTCTCTCCTAGGTATCTTTTTTCACATCTCTATGGAATCATCCATTCTTCACCATTAGCTGTATTACATTAATTGGTTTATTTTTTGCTGGAATACATAAAAGAGTAGTGGCGCCCTCAATGTATCCTTTTCCAAGGGTTTTATGCAAATACCAGGTCAATATGTGCAATACATAGCTGTTTAATATGCTATTTAGCCAATACATAGCTATTTAATATGCTATTTAGCCATATGCTGGGAAAGATTGAGGGCAATAGAAGAAGGGGACGACAGAGAATGAGGTGGCTGGTTGGAGTCACTGAAGCAGTAGGCGTGAGCCTAAATGGACTCCAGAAGATGGTAGAGGACAGGAAGGCCTGGAGGAACATTGTCCATGGGGTCATGATGGGTCGGACACGACTTTGCAACTAACAACAACAAGAAGAAGAGAGTAATTTAAGTGTAAGAAGCTCTTAACTCTAGCATAGGTTTTGCCCCAGACTAAAACTTTCCCTTGTGAAAAGCCACAGAAGAGGAGAATAAAGTTTTGTACCCTTTCTGGGTATAGAAAGGCAGTTGAATCTCATTTGATTTTTTTATATATATAATTTGTTGCTTATGAACATTTTTTAAAAGATTTTTTGAGCAGTTGGAAGGAAAATTGAATATTTTGGTGAGATGTTCAGAAATATTTTTTTATCAGTTTGCGAAATGAATTAGGAAAGCCGGCCCGTCAACTATTGAGAAGGCGTGTTTCTTTGACACCCTCTTCAGCATAGCTGCTCGATGTCGAACTGTTTTGGCAGAATACAATATGTCGTGCGATGACGTAAGTAACTCTGTTTTCCTTGGATAACTATGTTGAGTTTTGACCTTGGAAACAAAAGTTACAGTGGAAGAGAGCGTTTAAAGTTGTGTTTTTTCCCCCTCCGCAGACTGGAAAATTAATCTTGAAACCTCGGCTCCACGTCCAATAACCCGTTACTTTTGTGTGTAGAGGATTGCGGAATTACACATACAAATTTTGTTTCTTCAGTTCAACAAGGCCAAATATTAGGACCGAGAAACAGGTTTGTCTTCAACATGGGATGGAAGACGTCTCCCAATCTTTTTCTGCCCAAACACTTATGTTGTCAGTTTCTTCTAGGACAGTATTACTGGGTTCTCATCTCTAATGGCGAGGGGTCGCAGAGGCAGCCTCTCCGAGACTCGCCCGCTTTTACAATGCGCAAATAATTGTAAATAGAAAATGGTTACAGTATTTGTACTGCCATCTGCCGCCGCGTTTTTTAATCAGTGTGTGTGTTTGTTGATCGCAAAGACTTTACCCTCTTCCACGTTTGCGGCACCTGATCTGTTGACATGTCACATCCCGAGGTCGTCCTGGTTTATCCCATGGACGAGAGAGGGTTGACATGTTGCCTAAGGTTTTGCAATGGGGTCCTTCCTTCTAGTCGCCTGGAACCTATCAGCAGAACGTTTAAGAGTAGCATCCAGGTCACCATGTTGGGTTAGCTGCTTCCCACGACTCTGCAGAGACTGTACGGTGTAAACTTGGTTTCTTTTCTGGCTCTCGTTTGGATCCAGAACATGGGGGGGAGAGAGGCTTGAGGGTCCCATTTTGCATTTTCTTGCTAGTAATTATAAATGTTTGGCCTTTGCAAGTTGGAGAAGCCAGAGGAACATCCCACAGAAATACTTGGTCTGGATGAACAAGCTCATTTTTTTTTTAGTCCTAGTTTTTTCGCTTTGTGCAACCTTTGGCCTGCTCTATTATCCATTAGCTTACGGTTTTTTTAGCTCTGCCTTTCCCGAGTTGTTCTTTTTCTCTGCCTAAAAACAAGGTATTGTATTTGAAATTAACATTGGGAGAGTTCTGCCATGAAATTAGTATTGCTGGATGTGATGAAATGTTCTTCATATTACTTGACGGAAAGAAGTGCCAGAAATTAACCAAACCATCTTGCTGCTCTTTTGGCTTGCTGGATGCCCTCAACTGACCTAACACAATTGAAGAATTGGGAAGTAGGCTTGTAGGCTTTGTATTGTACACCCACAACAACCAAACTGAGCTTGGGGGTAGCTAGGTGACTGCAAATGTTTGGGTGGGCCAAACCATCAGCATCTTGGAAACCTTACGAGATGCTATCAAACCATAGTACTAGGTGTAGATCATGGCTTAGGTTAGTAGAAGTACTGGAGACATGAAGCTTTCACGCTGGTGTTGGAAGTGGTCTCTTTGGCTGTATTGTTTACCAAAAATACCTGCTTAAGGAAAAGGTCTTGTAGCCATGAGGTCAGATTCTAGACTGTTTAAGTGACTCTGGTGTTTCTCCATATGGGAAACTTCTTTAAACTTTTTTTTACAAACCCCTTCCAGCCATTTTAATTACCCTTGTTACACAGAAGTGTTAAAGTAAAAAAAAAAAAAGTGACTTACAGTCACAGTGTGACTTTTAAAATACTGACCCCAGGAATTTAGTTTTAAATCCTTGCGCCTTTTTTTAAAAAATGTACAAGCTATTTTAATAAGCGCATTGCTCTTTAAGACGCAACTGAGACCAAAGGGAATCTTAACCGTGCAAGAAATTGTAGGAAAAGAAATCTCTTGGATTAATAAATGCACCTCAAAAGTTTGATTTTTCTCCTTTTGCTCTTGAAGTGTCTTCTCTATTCCTTGCGTCCCCGTGGTTTTTAAGCAGCTGTACGTTTTTGTAGGAATTGCATTTTAAATAAATATTTTATTGTTTGATCTTTTTTAAAAAAAAATGCAAGAGTGTTTTTGTTGGAAGTAAAACCTCTGAAATCACTAATTTCTGAAAATTTTATTGGGAGAAAAATTGCAAAATACAGTTGATTTCTACAGGACAAAAATACAATGGTTGGGTCTCTGTAATAGCTCTACAAATAGCCACATAGCATGAATTTATAGCAAGAAATCTTAACAGCAGAGCATAATGATTTATACATTTTCCTATTTGTAGTAAAATAACATGGTAGCACCTTATCCAGCCAACAGATTTATAAAATTATCAGCCTTTTTGTCACCAAAGAATAATTTCTTTTCCTTAACACTTTTAATTATGGATATGATTATCTATTACGGCCCCATTCCACTTTTTTTTTTTTTTTTTTTTAAATCTCTTAGCTGATAAAAGAATTATACAGGTAGTCCTTGACTTATGACAATTCATTTAGTGACTGTTCGAAGTTACAACGGCACTGAAAAAAGTGACTTATGACCGTTGCAGCATCCCTATAGTCACGTGATCAAAATTCGGACGCTTTGCGACTCATATTTATGACGGTCGCAGAGTTCCACGGTCACGTGATCCCCTTTTCCAAGTTGAAAGCCTACCCATAAATGGCCCAAATACAGCCGTTACATTAATGTTCCTCCTTCCGTTATATATTCAAGATGGACAATATTTAATATTTATTTGCTACGTATATGTAGGGATGTGGGTCTATACATACGTTCATAGTATGTTTAGGTGTGTGACATGTATATGTTTCACTTTGAGAGCGGGCAACTAAATTTCATTTTTGATGTGTGCCATAAAAATGACAATAAAGGTTATCTTATCTTAAAATAACCTTACTAGTTCATTTTTGTACATTTTAGTACTAAATTGTTTTTAAAATCAAATTTGCAAACTACAAGAGAACAGAGTGCATGCCCAGTGCTCACCCACAATTTCCCCAAATTACGATGAGCCAGATCTTTTTAATTGGAATGATAAGACTCCAGCATTTTCAGTCCATTTTGCCATAGACCCAATTCTGTACATTGCTGCAACTGGGCTTTTCCCATTGATGAGAGCCTGTTGGCTGGGAAATTCAGGGAGTTGGAAGTCCAGACATCATCCAGTTGCCTAGTTTGAAAACAGCTGAATTAAAAACTTTTGAAGTCAGCAAAACCTTTCACAACAGCTCTTTCAAATTCTGATATTATTTATTTTTCTGCACTTGGGACCTGTGTCTTAAGATCTCAGGAACTGTTAATGTCTTATCGACTTAAGATAAAATTTGCTGGGGAAAGAATGCAAATTAGCAATCTCGTAGTACTAGAATACGTATTGGAAGTACATCCGGCTGTTAAACTTCCAATAAACCTCAGCAGCGGAAGTGGTCTCTTCCATCCACCCCGATCTCAGGGACTAGTCTGGACCTGTCTGAATCTATTTAGCCTATGAGAAAAAGTATCCTTTCCATTAAGACAGATTACTTTAGATCCCAGTGTAGCTTTGCACTTTGTACTGAGATAACCTATTGAGGAGGATTTGAATAGTAACTATATGGATTGTATGGGAGATGAAACTCAATCAAGATGAGATACTGGACAACTTGGAAGAAAATTTGGCGGGCACCCATCTCCATAATGGAGAAATGTCTTCGCTCTCTCATCTTCTGCAGAGATTGACTTTTCACGACAATCCGGTATGAAAGACATTGTTTTATCGTTTTATGCAAAATTAACTTGCATTTATTATCCAAGGGTTAGATTATAAAATAAAAATGCGTACTGTGATCCCGGGCACATTTTCCTTATGTATTTTAAGACGGATCTTTAATCTTTCATGATTTAAGAAAAAGATCGTTGAACTGTGGAGATTTTCAAAATATAGTAGGTTAAAAATAAAGGCCGTTTCTATTAGGCAGAAGAATTTGGTAGGATGTCTACCAAATGTTAACAAATGTAGAAAGATTATTTAAAAATGTTTGTAGCTGACTTCACGATTTAAAGAAAGCTCCTCTCTTGCCATTCACTTAAACTGCATTTAAAAAATAGCTCAAAAGATTTTGTAACTAATTAGGAAATCCAGACGAGGCTTTGATCATAGCTGTGAGGAGGGAAAAAAAATCTTGAGCATTTTTATTATTTGTGTTATAAATCGTCAGCAACTGGAATCTACTGTTAACTTTAGTCTTTTTGCTTTTTTTCAAAAATCCCACTGAATAAAGTCAAGCTCCGGAGTGACCGAGCCTGCTTTTTTCAAAGCATCTTATGGCGGTCTAGCAATGAAGGGAAATCTTTCTCAATTTACAATTCTGAAAATAGCTTGGAAGTTAGGGGTCCTTGGTGTTTGGTGGCTTTCTTGCAGATGTTTCATTACCCAAACTTTACCAGCGCTAGAGGGGAGGGGGGGTTGGCAGAGAGGAGAAAGAGGAAAAGAAGGATGACTTTGGGGTCCTTGGTGCTCTCTGAGCTCGTTTCTTGAGGACCTTTCATTACAAACTAGGTAATATCACCAGTGCTAGAAGGGAGGGGGGTTTGCAGAGAGGACTGTGGAGGTCTTTGGTGCTCTCTGAGCTTGCTTGTTTTCTTGCAGACGTTTCGTTATCCAAACCAGGTAACATCACCAGTGCTAGTGAGAAGTGGCATTTGCTCTCTGTTTCTATTCTAGTGGCTTGCCCTGGGGTGATCTTAGAGGGTCTTTGGTTGGGCTGTTTACTATTGGCTTCTTCTAAACACCTCTACATCCCATTCCTTACTAGCACTGATGATGTTACCTAGTTTGAGTAATGGAATGTCTGCAAGAACGCAGCCAAGCTCAGAGAGCACCAAGGACCCCAAAGTCGTCGTCTTCTTCTTCTTCTTCTTCTTCTTCTTCTTCTTCTTCTTCTTCTTCTTCTTCTTCTTCTTCTTCTTTCCTTCCTTCCTTCCTTCCTTCTTCCTTCTCAAACCCCTCCCTTCTACCACTGATGATGTTACCTAGTTTGAGTAATGAAATGTCTGCAAAAAAGCAACCAAGCTCAGAGAGCACCAAGGACCCCAAAGTTGTCGTCTTCTTCTTCTTTTTCTTCTTCTTCTTCTTCTTCTTCTTCTTTCCTTCCTTCCTTCCTTCCTTCTTCCTTCTCAAACCCCTCCCTTCTACCACTGATGATGTTACCTAGTTTGAGTAATGAAATGTCTGCAAAAAAGCAACCAAGCTCAGAGAGCACCAAGGACCCCAAAGTTGTCGTCTTCTTCTTCTTCTTCTTCTTCTTCTTCTTCTTCTTCTTCTTCTTCTTCTTCTTCTTCTTCTTCTTCTTCTTCTTCTTCTTCTTCTTCTTCTTCCTTTCTCCCTTCCTTCCTCCTCAAACCCCTCCCTTCTAGCACTGATGATATTACCTAGTTTGAGTAATGAAACGTCTGCAAGAAAGCAACCAAGCTCAGAAGAGCACCAACCCCGAGCTACAAATAATTCTCCTTTCTCTGTTCCGGCTTGCTTCCTCCAAACTCGCAAGGAGCGGCTGAACCCACGAAGTCAAAAGGCATAAAACCCCGAACTGCAGTAAAAAACAACAACAGACCAAAAGGGGTGTAAAAGCGATTTAAACGGAGGGGGGGGGGGACACAAATCCAAGCCAAGCAGGGCGCGCGCCGCAGGGCGAGCTGAGCGCGCTGCGGACTCCCGACCGTCTCTCTCCACCCCGGGGGGGGGGAAACCGCATTGACGCCCGGTTGGAGATCCGCGGAGACCCTCACCCACCCTGCCGCCCCTCCGTCCTCCCAGCCCTTTCCCCGCCTGCTTCCTGGGCGGAGAGCGGCGGCGGCGGCGGCGGCGCCTGCGCCCCAGCCGCACACGTGGGGCAGGCCGGCCAGCCAGCCCGTCCCGGGAGCCTCGGCTGGAAGGCAGCGGCGGCGCTTCGGCTATGGGCAAGACCAAGGCCCGGCGCTTTCGCCCGCCGCCCTTCGCTCCAGCCGGGAGCCTGGGCGAGCCGGCGGCGGCGGAGGAAGGCGAGGCGGGCGAAGAGGAGGGCTCCCCGGCCGCCGAGCTGCTGGAGAAGGCAAGGCGGAGGCGGGAGGCGGGTTGCCAACTGATGGCCAGCCGAGGGGAGCCTGGGCGGGCTGCGGGCGTGGGAAACGGGTCGGGCATGGAAGGTGGGGGGGAGAGAAAGGGGAGGGGGCTTCGCTACAGGCTGAAACCTACGAGGAACGGCGGCAGGGCTTGCAAATATACGTAGTCCTCGACTTACGGCCGGGCATCTGTGTAGCTGACTTGAGACATGTGATTATGTTTTAGTGGGGGTTTTGCATGGGGTATTTTTAGAGCAGGCCTGTTATTTAATTTGATTTTAGAATAGAAATTTGCGTATATTTATCGTGGTTTTTATTATCGCCTGTTCACCGCCCTGAGTCCCGTAAGGGAGATAGGGCGGTATATAAATTCAATTAATAATAATAATAATAATAATAATAATAATAATAATAATAATAATAATAATAATAATAAACCAGTTTGGCCCCGTTTTGCGACTTTCCTTGCCGCAGTTGTTAAGGGAGTCGCTGCGGTGGTTCAGGGAGTCCCGCGGTTGTTAAGCGAATCTGGTTTCCCCACTGACTTGGCTTGGGTCCAAAGGTCAGAGATGGGGACTGCAGGACCCCGGGACGCTGCAAATCGTCGTAAATGTGAGCCAGTTGTCAAGCCTCCGAGTGTAAATCCCCTGAGCGTGGAGATGCTACAACGGGCGTGAGTGTGGAAAAATGGACATAAGTCACTTTTTTCCCCTCCAGGGCTGTTGTTAACTTGGAACGGTCGCTGAATGGAACTGTTGTAAGTCGAGGGCTGCCTGTAAACCCGAAGCAGTTGTAGGAAGACGAAAGATGTGGAGACTCTAGAAAGAGTGCAGAGAAGAGCAACGAAGATGATTAGGGGACTGGAGGCTAAAAACGTATGAAGGACGGTTGCAGGAACTGGGGAGGTTTAGTCTAGGAAAGAAGGTTGGAACAGAGGCATAGAATCAAAATCACGCAAAATATTAGTACCGCTTTATAAATCCTTAGTAAGGCCACACCTGGAATATTGCATCCAGTTTTGGTCACCACAGTACAAAAAAGATGCTGAGACTTTGGGAAAAAGTGCAGAGAAGAGCAACTAAGATGATTAAAGGCCTGGAAACTAAAACATATGAAGAAAGGTTGCAGGATTTGGGTATGGATAGTCCAGTGAAAAGGAGGACTGGGGGTGACATGATAGCCGTCTTCCAATATCTCAGGGGCTGCCCCAAAGAAGAGGGAGTCAAGCTCTTCTCCAAAATACCTGAAGGCAGGACAAGAAACAATGGATGGAAATTAATCAAGGAGAGAAGCAACCTAGAACTAAGGAGAAACTTCCTGACAGTTAGAACAATTAACTAGTGGAACAGCTTGCCTCCAGAAGTTGTGGGTGCTCCATAGCTGGAGGCTTTTAAGAGGAGTCTGGACAACCACTTGTCTGAAATGATATAGGGTTTTCTGCTTGAGCAGGGCGTTGGACTAGAAGACCTCCAAGGTCCTCTCCAACTCCGTTATTCGGTTTGTAGGGCTGTGAGAGGGCGAGCCGGGGTACCGGCGAACCGGGAGGTGGAGTAGGGTGATTGATGGCTTCTCCTGGTACGTTGCAAATGGCAAGCGGGGTTGCCAGCTAATTGGGAAAATAGGTCCCAGTGCACTTCTGGGCATCCTCAAATGAGATTGCTAAACTTTGAGCAGCCCAAGAATAGGTAGTGGGTTGAGGGTGCAGGGGGCACCAAATATCAGATTGCATTTATTGGATGGGCAAGGGCTATCCTTGGCAAGTGAGGTTTTTAAGACAAGGAATATCGGAATTTTAAGGGTGTGGAAAACTTCAGGGCTGCAGCAGCGGGTGGGAATTGAAGCCACCCATCTAAAATAGCTTTGACTTGCGTGTGTTTGGATCTGAGGTAGAGGAAATGTGATCCGCACCTGCCCAGGAGAGTGTGCATGGATTTAAATCCCGCTGGAAGGCCTTCCAGGAATTTGGTAAATAGGGATCCTTGGTGCTTCCTGAGCTTGGTGGCTTTATTGCAGGCCTTTCATTACCCAACTAGGAAACACCATCAGTGCCAGAAGGGAGCGTCTGTTAGGTTACCCAATTAGGGTCATCATGCCAGCGCTGATGATGTTACCTAGTTGGGTTATGAAACGTCTGCAAGAAGACCACAAAGCTCAGAAAGGACCAAGGATCTCTCATTTCAACCCTGAGCTACTACTGAGACTTAATAATTCTGTTTATTCATTCTCTGTACCTGCCTTCCCTACTCTCCGCCTTTCCAGCTGCAGCACCCCAATGCCGACGTGCGTGAATTTGCCTGCGCCAACATTTCCAAGATGTTGCAACAGCAACAAACAATCCCGGCTTTTGTGCAACAAGATGTGGTCCGGCGACTGGGCCCGTTGCTGCTTGATCCAAGCTTAGTGGTTCGGGAGACGGCGGCAGGAGCACTCCGGTGAGTGATGGATGATAGAGAGAGAGCGGTTTGGGCCAACATTTAGATAGGCTCTTTGGGGTCCTTAGTACATGGTGCAGATGAAACTGGGGGTGCATTCAGTAAACCTGGGGTTACTGTACTGGCAACAGATCTAGTTGTGGTTAGAGTCTGGATGGCTTTGCTACACCTTTGAGAAATTTATTCGTTGTCGTTCTGTTCCTGGAAGTTTGNCTTCTTCTTCTTCTTCTTCTTCTTCTTCTTCTTTCCTTCCTTCCTTCCTTCCTTCCTTCTTCCTTCTCAAACCCCTCCCTTCTACCACTGATGATGTTACCTAGTTTGAGTAATGAAATGTCTGCAAAAAAGCAACCAAGCTCAGAGAGCACCAAGGACCCCAAAGTTGTCGTCGTCTTCTTCTTCTTCTTCTTCTTCTTCTTCTTCTTCTTCTTCTTCTTCTTCTTCTTCTTCTTCTTCTTCTTCTTCTTCTTCTTCTTCTTCTTCTTCTTCTTCTTCTTCTTCTTCTTCTTCTTCTTCTTCTTCTTCTTCTTCTTCTTCTTCTTCTTCTTCTTCTTCTTCTTCTTCTTCTTCCTTTCTCCCTTCCTTCCTCCTCAAACCCCTCCCTTCTAGCACTGATGATGTTACCTAGTTTGAGTAATGAAACGTCTGCAAGAAAGCAACCAAGCTCAGAAGAGCACCAACCCCGGAGCTACAAATAATTCTCCTTTCTCTGTTCCGGCTTGCTTCCTCCAAACTCGCAAGGAGCGGCTGAACCCACGAAGTCAAAAGGCATAAAACCCCGAACTGCAGTAAAAAACAACAACAACAGACCAAAAGGGGTGTAAAAGCGATTTAAACGGAGGGGGGGGGGGAACACAAACCCAAGCCAAGCAGGGCGCGCGCCGCGGGGCGAGCTGAGCGCCCTGCGGACTCCCGACCGTCTCTCTCCGCCCCTGGAGAAAAAAACGCAGAGGCGCCCGGTTGGAGATCCGCGGAGACCCTCACCCACCCTGCCGCCCCTCCGTCCTCCCAGCCCTTTCCCCGCCTGCTTCCTGGGCGGAGAGCGGCGGCGGCGGCGCCTGCGCCCCAGCCGCACACGTGGGGCAGGCCGGCCAGCCAGCCCGTCCCGGGAGCCTCGGCTGGAAGCCAGCGGCGGCGCTTCGGCTATGGGCAAGACCAAGGCCCGGCGCTTTCGCCCGCCGCCCTTCGCTCCAGCCGGGAGCCTGGACGAGCCGGCGGCGGCGGAGGAAGGCGAGGCGGGCGAAGAGGAGGGCTCCCCGGCCGCCGAGCTGCTGGAGAAGGCAAGGCGGAGGCGGGAGGCGGGTTGCCAACTGATGGCCAGCCGAGGGGAGCCTGGGCGGGCTGCGGGCGTGGGAAACGGGTCGGGCATGGAAGGGGGGGGGGAGAGAAAGGGGAGGGGGCTTCGCTACAGGCTGAAACCTGCGAGGAACGGCGGCAGGGCTTGCAAATATACGTAGTCCTCGACTTACGGCCGGGCATCTGTGTAGCTGACTTGAGACATGTGATTATGTTTTAGTGGGGGTTTTGCATGGGGTATTTTTAGAGCAGGCCTGTTATTTAATTTGATTTTAGAATAGAAATTTGCGTATATTTATCGTGGTTTTTATTATCGCCTGTTCACCGCCCTGAGTCCCGTAAGGGAGATAGGGCGGTATATAAATTCAATTAATAATAATAATAATAATAATAATAATAATAATAATAATAATAATAATAATAATAATAATAATAAACCGGTTTGGCCCCGTTTTGCGACTTTCCTTGCCGCAGTTGTTAAGGGAGTCGCTGCGGTGGTTCAGGGAGGCCCGCGGTTGTTAAGCGAATCTGGTTTCCCCACTGACTTGGCTTGGGTCCAAAGGTCAGAGATGGGGACTGCAGGACCCCGGGACGCTGCAAATCGTCGTAAATGTGAGCCAGTTGTCAAGCCTCCGAGTGTAAATCCCCTGAGCGTGGAGATGCTACAACGGGCGTGAGTGTGGAAAAATGGACATAAGTCACTTTTTTCCCCTCCAGGGCTGTTGTTAACTTGGAACGGTCGCTGAATGGAACTGTTGTAAGTCGAGGACTGCCTGTAAACCCGAAGCAGTGTAGGAAGACGAAAGATGTGGAGACTCTAGAAAGAGTGCAGAGAAGAGCAACGAAGATGATTAGGGGACTGGAGGCTAAAAACGTATGAAGGACGGTTGCAGGAACTGGGGAGGTTTAGTCTAGGAAAGAAGGTTGGAACAGAGGCATAGAATCAAAATCACGCAAAATATTAGTACCGCTTTATAAATCCTTAGTAAGGCCACACCTGGAATATTGCATCCAGTTTTGGTCACCACAGTACAAAAAAGATGCTGAGACTTTGGGAAAAAGTGCAGAGAAGAGCAACTAAGATGATTAAAGGCCTGGAAACTAAAACATATGAAGAAAGGTTGCAGGATTTGGGTATGGATAGTCCAGTGAAAAGGAGGACTAGGGATGACATGATGGGAGTATTCCGATATTGGAGGGGCTGCCCCAAAGAAGAGGGAGTCAAGCTATTCTCCAAAGCACCTGAAGGCAGGGCAAAAAACAATGGATGGAAATTAATCAAGGAGAGAAGCAACCTAGAACTAAGGAGAAATTTCCTGACAGTTAGAACAATTAACCAGTGGAACAGCTTGCCTCCAGAAGTTGTGGGTGCTCCATAGCTGGAGGCTTTTAAGAGGAGTCTGGACAACCACTTGTCTGAAATGGTATAGGGTTTCCTGCTTGAACAGGAGGTTGGACTAGAAGACCTCCAAGGTCTCCTCCAAATCTATTATTCAGTTTGTAGGGCTGTCAGAGGGCGGGGTACCAGCGAACCGGGAGGTGAAGTAGGGTGATCGATGGCTTCTCCTGGCACGCTGCAAATTGCAAGTGAGGTTGCCAGCTAATTGGGAAAATAGGTCCCAGTGCACTTCTGGGCATCTTCAAATGAGATTGCTAAACTTTGAGCAGCGCAAGAATAGGTAGTGGGTTGAGGGTGCAGGGGGCACCAAAGATCAGATTGCATTTGTTGGATGGGCAAGGGCTATCCTTGGCAAGTGAGGTTTTTAAGACTAGGAATATCGGAATTTTAAGGGTGTGGAAAACTTCAGGGCTGCAGCAGTGGGTGGGAATTGAAGCCACCCATCTAAAATAGCTTTGACTTGCGTGTGTTTGGATCTGAGGTAGAGGAAATGTGATCCGCACCTGCCCAGAAGAGTGTGCATGGATTTAAATCCCGCTGGAAGGCCTTCCAGGAATTTGGTAAATAGGGATCCTTGGTGCTTCCTGAGCTTGGTGGCTTTATTGCAGGCCTTTCATTACCCAACTAGGAAACACCATCAGTGCCAGAAGGGAGCGTCTGTTAGGTTACCCAATTAGGGTCATCATGCCAGCGCTGATGATGTTACCTAGTTGGGTTATGAAACGTCCGCAAGAAGACCACAAAGCTCAGAAAGGACCAAGGATCTCTCATTTCAACCCTGAGCTACTACTGAGACTTAATAATTCTGTTTATTCATTCTCTGTACCTGCCTTCCCTACTCTCCGCCTTTCCAGCTGCAGCACCCCAATGCCGACGTGCGTGAATTTGCCTGCGCCAACATTTCCAAGATGTTGCAACAGCAACAAACAATCCCGGCTTTTGTGCAACAAGATGTGGTCCGGCGACTGGGCCCGTTGCTGCTTGATCCAAGCTTAGTGGTTCGGGAGACGGCGGCAGGAGCACTCCGGTGAGTGATGGACGATAGAGAGAGAGCGGTTTGGGCCAACATTTAGATAGGCTCTTTGGGGTCCTTAGTACATGGTGCAGATGAAACTGGGGGTGCATTCAGTAAACCTGGGGTTACTGTACTGGCAACAGATCTAGTTGTGGTTAGAGTCTGGATGGCTTTGCTACACCTTTGAGAAATTTATTCGTTGTCGTTCTGTTCCTGGAAGTTTGNGATAGAGAGAGAGCGGTTTGGGCCAACATTTAGATAGGCTCTTTGGGGTCCTTAGTACATGGTGCAGATGAAACTGGGGGTGCATTCAGTAAACCTGGGGTTACTGTACTGGCAACAGATCTAGTTGTGGTTAGAGTCTGGATGGCTTTGCTACACCTTTGAGAAATTTATTCGTTGTCGTTCTGTTCCTGGAAGTTTGCTTAGATGGGCTTGGTGTGAATTTTGCAATTTCTACTCAATTTCTACAGGCCTTGTGAGGTAGTCCAGACAAGAAGCACATTCGGAAGTTATAGATCTACTTTATTGTAAGGACACATTAAACAGAATCTTGCAAGGAGGGGAAGTACATCTGTTCCCCTTCCCCTTTACAATGCATGAAACTAGAGAGGGTCTCTTCTGAGTTGTTTGCTACACACGTTCCTTCTGCAGGGTCTAATTTTATTCATCAGACAGTCGTCTCTAGTCTTTGGCTTTTCCACCCGTCTTCCATTCCCACATCCCATTATAATTTCTGCCCTTTCTCTTTGTGTAGTGATTGGAAACTTCCCGACCTACACAAATGAGCAAGATCAAATCTTGTGTTTCGCATCCTGGTTTCTAGGGAGGTCTTCCCATTAAGGATTTTTTTTTTCTCCCCCATTCGGCAGCAAAAAAGTTTCTCAAAACTTTCAGACACGTTTGGATCGTTTTGGATTGCACCATTTTCATCGTTGCTGTGTTGTGACTTATCCTTTCCTTGAGAAACCTTTATGGATGTGGGATAAACGTGGCTTTGCAAACTAATGTGGGATAAATTTGGCTTTGTTGCAGAAACCTCAGTGCCTGCGGAGGATTTGAAGTTTGCAATGATATGGTCACTAAAGACATCATGACTCCACTTGTAGCTTTGTTGAAGGAGGTACGTTGTGTGTGCTTTGAAAAGAATTCCACAATGATGCTTTGGAATATACGGGAAACTGAACACAGCCTCTCTTTAAAGGAGGGTATTGGTTTTCTGCCACGAAAACAAAATCTTATTAAATCAGCTGCCTCTTTTTCAGGGAAAAAAAAGAAGCGACTATTTTAAAGAGATGCTGTGCTCATGTACTCACTCATTACAAAACATGTATAAACTAAAATAAACAAAAAATGTTTTAAAGTTTTGAGAAATATTTGAGTATAATCAGTGAAATGCTTCCCTAAAGCCAACAGTTCAGAGCAAATACAAGATTAGAATGGGCATCTCTACCCTACTACAGATCTGTGTATGCATTGAAAGATGTTCTATAATGCATGGGTACATGAGCACAGCTTCTCTTTAAAGCGGTCATCTCTTTTTTTGGACTTCAAGCCTGAAAAAAGAGGGAACTGCTTTAATGAGCTCAGATAGTGTGCTACTTTCCACTCCAGCCTCAACTTAGAGTACAGGCCTTACTGATAGCCTACCATCCAATAGCTAGATTTGTCCAAGCTTTGCTTACAAGCTCCTCTCAGGTTGATTAAATTATGTTACCTGACTACTAAGATACAATAAATCACAGCCACAGTTGGCTGGATTCACTAGTTACGGTAAACTGTCAAACCACAGCTGACAAGCCAGAATAGTTAGGCTCATTCAACAGACTGGGGTAGCAGGAAACAACCTCCCTTGAGTTTAAAGTGATGGATGAAGTAGCCTATAGTAAGTGGTATCCAGAAAGTCCTTTGAAGAATAAATGAATTTGGAAGAGATCCGTGAAAGCAAGAATATCTTGCATTTTCCCCATCAGATTTTGTTTCATTTGTTCTTTTTGGTCTACTTTGATTCAAACAGTGCCGGGCAGGACTTATAGAAAGCAATAATTCCTTGAAGGAAGACAAACAGACAGAGAAGAACCATCCTGAGGACATTGCTAACGAAGGTGTGAACTTGCTGTGGAATGTGTGGTAAGTGTAGTTGTGAAATTCTTGGTTTCAGGGCTAGCAGAGAGTATTTGGGGAAGAATTGTGTCTTCCAGAAGTGGAACTAGGCAGGATTGGAGAAAGTGGAAATCACATTACAAATAAAATGAGTTGTGCGTATCACTGTACGGGTGTGTTAGGGAAGGATGAATGAATCCCAGTTGGTAGAAGGTCATCTTTTTTGTGTCCTGTTGTTACTGTGCAAAACATTTAGGTTTCCATTGGAAACTAATCAATGCTAGGGGCTGTGGATATTTTGAACATTGTTTGGAAGAAGTAAGTGTGGATTTTTCCCGCCAGGCTTCTGCTCAAGGCTGAAAAGTGACGTGGTTGCATTAAGAAGCGTGATCTCATTAAAGCAGCTGCATCTTCTTTCAGACTTGAATACACACCTGGCAAAAAAAAAATCCTGCCATGCTTCCCTTAATGCAGGGGTGTCAAACTCGCAATGTCACGTGATGTGTGGCAATGTACTGCGACTTTTTTCCGGCAATGGGGGGGCACGGTTTTGCTACGATGCATCTGGCCTGTGGGCCGGCATTTTGACACCCCTGCCTTAATGCATATCAAAGAGGTCCTACGCTCGTCTGAATTCCAAAACCGTTCTCTGGAATCATTTTTGAACTGTGCACAATCGTTATAAATGGACATTTGCCATCTTTGTTTATAAAGGAGATTGATCGACTAAGTTTTCTTTAATGTCTCTTACCAGTGAATGCAACAGTACAGCCGTATCAATATTCAACAAAGAAGGATGCTTAGATGTTACTCTACAATATCTGAAGAGGTTTCGTACAAATGTTGAGCTGGCTATTGCTGCGGGTAAGAAATGGCAGATAACCCTTCTTCTTGGAGATTTTTGTTATAGTTTTTCCTGTCAGCAGGAGGCTGTCTATATAATTTACCAAGAGAAGGGGCTATTGGAAGTTTGAAGCTATTTGTCTGTTTGTCCAACTCTTTGTCCGACTCTTGGTGACTTTATAGGCAAATGCTATCCTGTCGAGCATCGCTTCTTTCCATTGTTGGATGTTCAACTTTGTTACCAGATTTGATGTTGTCAAGTCAGCGTGTTCTTTGCTTGCCCCTTCTTCTTGTTCCACTGACCATTCCCAGCATCGGTGCCTTCTCCAGTGAAGTTGCAGGCCTAACATGGCCAAGTAAATCAGACGTAGTCTTAATGATTTTAACTTCTAGTTTAAAGCAGGAATGGGAAAAATGTGTTGGTTTTTGATTATTTGTTTTTCATTAACTTGAATCCTGCTTTTCATCTTTCTTTTTCTAGGAAAAAATTAAGGGGCAGGTGGTAGAACGTTAATCATTTAAAGGAAACGTTTTGAGATTTAAAACAGCTTCTATGTAATATAGGTAGTCCTTGACTTATAACAGTTTGCTTAGCAACCGATCGAAGTTACAGCGGCATTGAAAAAAAGTGACCTGTGCCTATTTTTCACATTTACGACCGTTGCAGCCGTCCCCGTGGTCACGTGATCAAAATTCAGAGGACTGGCAACTGACTCACATTTATGACGGGTTGCAGTGTCCTGGGGTCATGTGATCCCCTTTTGCGATCTTCTGACAAGCACAGCCAATGGGGAAGCTAGATTCTCTTAACAACCGTGTTACTAATTTAACAACAGCACTGATTCACTTAAACGGGGGCAAGAAAAGTCGTAAAACGGGGCAAAGCTCATTTAACAAATTTCTCACTTAGCAACAAATTTTGGGCTAATTGTGGTCGTAGGTTGAGGTCTATCTGTATAGCATCAGATCACGATGGAAGTGAGCATTTAGTACAAGTATACTAAAAACAGTATCAAGGAGTTGATCACACTTATCTGAAGTAGAATGGCGGATAGCTTTAGGAAGGTTGATTTAGGACTTTCCGAGTTGGATCTGCGGCCTACGTTTAAACGTATTCTCCACCTTTACAGCATCCTGTTTACAAACGGTGACAGAAGACAACCCAGATCTACTATCATCTTTCGATGCATCTGCGCATCAGGTGCTGGAAATGGTTATGTTATCATCGGAGAAAGATATGGACCACATCCTTTTGCGGACTTTGGTGGCAGGTAGGAAATCGCAGTGGCAGGCTCAGGAATTCTGGGAGTTGAAGTCCACAGGTCGTGAAGTTGACATAGTTGCCCACCCCTGCGCTATAACAATGATGCGCCAGAATGTGTGTGTGTGTGTGGGGAGGGGGGAGTCCCAGTTCCATGGTTTGTGTGTGGGAATTCCTTGCATGAATCTCAATCTAACTGTCAACGCTGCTAACCTTGGATGTTCTTGCTTTGACAACATCTGGAGATGCAGCCTTTTTCTTCCTTATGCTTTACTCTTAGAACTGGATGATGCTGGGGGAGGAGAAGGAATGTGATGGGAGTTAGTTAGACATAACAATATTGTACTAGTGTGTGAATTCAGGGCTTTTGAAATAAGAGATGATAAGGAATGGCGGGTTGGAGTAAAGGAGGGAAAGCCTGCATTTCAAACTAATTGGAGAATGTGATTTGCTTTGACACTAACATCTCCAGGTGGCTTTGGGGAAAGATCCTGTCTAAGCTGCCAGTTGGAAATTGGGTGCAGGAAGACATGATGTGATGATATCCTTTCTGGCTTAGTGATATATTGATGTGGTAGCTCACAATTTATGAGCCAACCCATTACAGCTGAATGGTCAGGCTTTCATTTTATACTTGCTTCCCAAAATTGTGAATGCTCCATTATTATTATTATTATTATTAATAATAATATACACATTCCTTCTCATAATTTCCTACAATTATACCTAACAAAAGAAGTAATTCTGGCTTAAAATCTATGTGTGTGGTTTTTTTTTACTCATTTTCTCTAACCATATATGTATTCTTGACCAAAATCTTTCGGCTTTAGGGCATGTCCACCAAAGATGATAGTAATGTGCCTGATTTTTGTCTGCATTTCCAACAATTGTAGACATATTTTTAAACATTTCCGCTAACCTCACAGGTGTTAAGGGCCATCTGTAGAGTTGTCCCTTTGTTTGATGTTGCAGTGATCCGATTTGGTTGCCTGATCTCTGCCGTATCCTTTTTCGTTGCTTCAGGGGTAGCGTGGAACGTAAAGAGCACTGTGCCCTCAAGCAGCCAGGCAGGAACCATCAATGCCATCCTAAAGATTTTCTCGGACTGTCTAGCGGTGGACGCCGGAGAGACAGTTGTTCGGATGAAGGAAGCCGAAACGGAAAGGTTGAAGACTTCGGTGGAAGGAAATGGAGTGAACGGAGGTAGCACCACACAGATAGACGAGAACAGCATGGAAGAGGGAACTGGAGGGATCGCCCAAGGGGAGAAGGACCTGTTGGATCTACTGCCAGTAAGTGGCTGATCTGTTCTTTCAAAGGGGAGCACCAGGGCCTGAGTTATGAGGATAAGACAAACCGCAGGTAATCCTCGGTTTACAAAAACCCCATTAGCGAACATTCAAAGTTGCAACGGCGCTGAAAAAAGTGACACACAATGGTCCTTGCGTTTACGGTCGTAATACAGGTAGTCCCCGACTTACAACTTACAATCACTGGGAGAAAAAAAAGGGACTTATGTCCATTTTTCACATTTACAACCGTGGCAGCACACACACACACACACACACCGTGGTCACATGATCAAAATCCACACGCTTGGCAATTGACTCATACTTATGACGGTTACAGCGTCCCGGGGTCACGTGATCCCCTTTTTGCGACCTTTGGACACAAGCAAAGTCAATGGGGGAAGTCGGATTCCCTGAACAAACATGTTACTAACTGAACCAGTGCAGAGATGCATTTAACAACTGCGGCCGGAAAAGTGGTAAAAATGGGGCAAAATTCCCTTAAGTGTCTCGCTTAGTGACAGAAATTTGGGGCTCGTTTGTGGTCATAATGTGAGGACTACCATGGTCAAAATGCAGGCACCTGACAACCAGCCTGTATTTATGATGGCCGCCAGCATCCCAAGGTCATGTGATCGCCATTTTGTGACCTGCCCAGCCGGCTTCTGATAGGCACATCCACATTAACCCATCTGCTTAATGGCCGTGTGGCTCTCTTAATAACGCCAATGATTCACGTAACAACTGTGGCAGAAAAGGTCGTAAAATCGGGCACGACTCCCATAACAATTGTTTACTTAGCCCAGGGGTAGGCAACTTCGGCTCTTTTATGACTCATGGACTTCAACTCCCAGAATTCCTGAGTCAGCTATGAGTCCATGAGTCATAAAAGAGCCGAGGTTGCCTACCCCTGACTTAGCCACAGAAATTCTGGTCCTAACGGCAGTCGTTAAGGATTACCGATAAAATATCCCCATCCATAGACCCAGATTTTCAGCTTGAAATGGCTGCAGGGAGAGTTCGTTCTTTCAGGAACTTTGGTTGGCTGACTGAAAAAAATTGTTTGCTCTCGCGTTTGTTGTTATTAGTTGTGAAATCGTGTCCGACCCATTGGGACCCCATGGACAATGTTCCTCCAGGCCTTCCTATCCTCTACCATCTTCTGGAGTCCATTTAAGCTCATACCTACTGCTTCAGTGACTCCCTCCAGCCACCTCCTTCTCTGTCGTCTCCTTCTTCTATTGCCCTCCATCTTTCCCAGCATTAGGCTCTTCTCCAGTGAGTCTTTCCTTCTCATTAGGTGGCCAAAGGACTTAGCATCCCACAATGAAATTCTTGCCTTTCACTTCAGAACGTCTCCTGAACGTTTCTGTGCCTGCTCCCATTTCTTTCTCTCTTTTTTTCCACCCAAGCTTTCTTCAGTCTAGTTCTCTGTCATCGTTATCTCCCTCAATCCTCATCATCTAGGAAGGGAGAAGATTCATTCGGGGGAGATACAACATTGATTCTGTTAGAATTGGATAAACAGAGTTTAAATAACCACGGTTTAGCTCAGGATGAGGGCGAGCCCACGTATTTGGCCTGATTTGAAGACAAGACCTTGTGTTTTTTGCTTCCTAGCGCAGCCAGCAGGAGTTGAAGCAAGCGAGTGCGTTACTTTTGGCTCAACAAACTGCCCTGGAAATAATTGTCAACATGTGCTGCAACGAAGGTCAGTGGTCTCTTTTCTTGTGTGAAGTGAGCTGGGCACTTAGGTGAGGTGGGCAGTAGAAGTTGGATGGATGGATGGATGAATAAACAAATCAACAAATAAATAAAACAAATGTAGTTTTCCTCAACTTGGTCACTGTTTTAATACGAGATGCTTAATGAGGTTATTTATATCACAGTCTTTGTGCTACACCCCAATCCACAGGCGGTGTGGCAGTGGAGTCGGTCATAAGGTCATAAAATGAATGGAAATGCCATAGATGGCCACCAGAAACCTTTGATCTTGGTTAAAGGCCCAGTGGAATAGTTAAAGCCCTACTAAGTATATACACACAACATGTAAAGTTGGGCCGGTTTAATTGTGGTGAAGCTCTTGGGTCTTTACATGTTGCGTGAATTCAAGATGGCAAGATACAAATAAAGTTGCTGCACTTCCTTTGGGATGTTGATGCCTGTGGCTTTTGTTTCCAGATGCTTCTGACGAAGAATGGGAAGAGTTATCGAGCAGTGACGAAAGCGATGCCTTTCTGGATAACAATTATGAAGAAGAGGGCAAGCTGCTTTCTCCGTTGTGCCTTTCAGCTGAAATTCACACCGCCCTGGTCAACCAGTTAATCCCAAAGAAGGTAACCAGATCTTCTTCGACTTCAGAAGGAGGACCTGGCTAAAACATCGCATTTGAGGCTGCAAGATTTATACAAGAGAATAGTGATAGATCATGGTGGAACTGTGGGGTCTTTGGTGTTCTCTAGCTTGGTTGCTTCCTTCGTCTGCAAGAAAACAACCAAGCTCAGAGACCACCAGAGATGCTCACTAAGTGCTCAAAATGCTCACCCAACACTGATGATGTTACCTAGTTCGGTAAGAAAACGCCTGTAAGAAAACAACCAAGCTCGGAGAGCACGAAGGACCCCGTGAATTGGTTTCTTTTCTGATTAATAACTTTTATAAACCAAAGTAGCTGACTTTCATATAGCTCCCTTGTTCCCAGAATGCCTGCATTAGTATAGTCGTATTTGAGAACGTGGCAGGAGTAGGTGTTAATACCACTGCTTGGAGAATTGTCAAAACGAGAATTCATATAGGTAGCAGTTGTATGCCTGTATAATTCTCCAGCCTCTTCCCTTTTAGACTCGGTGCATTTGTTGAAGTTTTGTTAGCCGTAGCATGAAGGAATGAGTGGCCAAAGGACTTTTGAACACATCTTTGCAGCTTAACAATAAAGGATCATAACCTTTAAAATAAGTAATAAGTGAAATGTGATGGTCTCAGGAACTTGAGGTTACTTCCACATTCTGTAGGGATGTTGTGCTCTTCTACGAATTGGCGCCTGAGGTCCTTCTTTGAACATTGACCGTGAACCACAGTTGTTCTTTGCTTTGTGCAGATCCTGGAAAAAACTGCTTTCCCTAGTGGAGTTACGGTCAATGTCTGTATGCAACATCCATCTTGGAAGGCTCTGATTAAAAAGTAAGTGACTTGTTTTCATTCAATTCCTTGTTACTTCCTTCTCAGGAGAGCACTGTCTATGGATCTGTCTAGGCCAGTGCTTCTCAACCTTGGCAGCTTTAGGAGGGATGGACTTCAACTCCCAGAATTCCCCAGGCAGCATGGAATTCTGGGGGTTGAGGTCCACCCTTCTTAAAGTTGCCAAGGTTGAGGAACGCTGATTTTCAGCTAACATTGGACTAGAAAAAGGATGCACAGCCTACCCTACATGATTCCCCAATCCCTCACCCAGAAATGGCCTTCAGGATCCCTCTACCCTGAAAAGGCCAGATGATGGATTTGGGCAGCTCAACTTTCTGGGGTGTTTTGTTAGCAAATAAGCAAAATTCCGTTTTTCTTCCAGGTTGAACATGATCCAGTGCAGAGCGCTCACCTGTCTTCACAGCATTTTGCTGGTGTCGGATGTGGATAGCCTGGGGGGTCCTTCGGTGCTTCAATCCCTGTCACAGCACTTGTCTCAATTAATTTTTTCCCAGCCAGGTTTGCTTTGATTTTTAGGCTCTTTCCAGCTTGGTAGGACTCGTTCTTCCCCGCTGCCACCTTTGTTCATTCTTCCTAATCCTTCCACTAATTGCACTGGCTACTTGATATATCTACATGATAATGACTGAGTTTCCTGCTGTTTTGTCTTTGCAGACCCCTGGAGAGTAGACTTATTTATTTAAGGCAGGAGTGAGCAAATACAGTGAAACAGTGTAGCTTCTTGGTGATTGCCAGAACAAATCTCTGCAGGTTTGGGGGGCAACCATTTTCAAAAATGGCTGCCTCTTGCTGCCTTCTTACGGCTAGCAAGAGAGCCTGACCCAAGTCACCCAGCTGGCATTCATGCCTAAGGGAGGACTAGAATTCGTGGTCCTCTGGTTTCTAATGGGGAACCTTAAACCAGTGTTTTTCTCCCTCAGCAACTTGAAGATGGCTGGACTTCAACTTCCAGAATTCCCTAGTCAGCATGGAGGTAAAGGAATTCTGGGAACTGAAGTCTGTATGTCTTAAAAGATGCCAAGGTTGAGAAACTGCCGTTTAAGGTACCTCATCACGCTGGCTCATATATACTTAGAAACATGCACACGTTACACGTGTGTTGATGTACATATGTAGAAAATTGGGAGGTGTTTTCTCCATAGAGGTAATCCTAATTTGAGTCCCAAAATTCCGGTTGCTAAGCTAGACAGTTGTTAAGTGAGTTTTGCCCCATTTTGCGACTTTCCTTACCACAGTTCTTAAGTGAATCACTGCACCTGTTGAATTAGTAACACAGCTGTTAAGTGAACAAAGGAGATATTTGACTTACAAAATTTATATCACTAGTGTTTTGAGCACAAAGATAATGTGCTTTTTATTTTTGGACAGAATTTTCAAAAGAAGTGGAGTTTCTAGAAGCTGTCACCAGTGCGTTGCGAGCTCTTTTGCAAATGTTGGCATCAAATAATATAACTCAGGTGAGTTTTCTGGACATGTTGGCATCTAATATCACAGTTTCCACAATTCCACAGTCTTTCAACATGGATGGAGGAAGACCCCCATGCCAGCGAGAGAAAATGCTGTCAAAGTGGCCCAATGTTGGGCGAATGTCATTTAGTTTTAATCCTATTTATTTTACGTACTTTTTGCACATGCTACATTTCTAATGATTTATTTTATAGCTATTTTGTTTGCTCGATATTGAAGGTTTTATGTCTGTCATTTGAAGGTGCTTCTGACACGAATAAGGGAAGTTTCCACAATCTGATTATAAAACATCCACATCATATGAAGCAGTTAAAATTGTGCACATGTATAATTTCTTGAAGAACATTTGGGTTAAATGGGAAAGGGGTCAGCTCCATTTGTTCTGGAAGGATTTAGGAAATGAGTGTGGCTTCATCATGCAGAGATAGGATCCATTGGCAAGAAACAATAAACCCGAAAGATGTCTAGTTCAAACTTAGCTTCCCCAATTATGCGTAGCTTCATGTTGTCTGAATCCAGCACACAAAGCCATAATCTAAACTATAGATTCTTGTTTCATACTAACATGGAATTTTTAAACCATGGTTTGTTGCACAAATCACAGCATCCTAATTGACTGTAATCCTAAGCCCTGAGGTGTGGTTTCACACATATCGGCATGTAATTTACCCTAGACCTGTCTGTATAGTGCTGAACATGAAGTAGGACTGGAAGACAATGCCTCTGAACACGTGCAGAATATTTTTATATAAATAAAATAAATAGAAATACATAAAGTAAGTAAAATATAAATACACAATTAACCAGTGGAACAGCTTACCCCCAGAAATCGTGGGGGCTCCATCACTGGAGGTTTTTAAGAAGAGACTGAACAAGCATTTGTCTGAGATGGTATAGGTTCTCCTGCTTGAGTAGGGGGCTGGACTAGAAGACCTCCAAGGTCCAGCTCTATTCTATTCTATATAGGCTCAAGGAAAGAATTAAGGAGAAATTTCCTGACAGTGAGAACAATTAACCAGTGGATCGGCTTGCCTCCAGAAGTTGTGGGTGCTTCATCAGTGCAGGCTTTCGAGAAGAGATTGGACGTCCATTTGTCTAGAATGGTATAGGGTCTCCTGCCTGAGCAGGGGGTTGGACTAGCAGACCTCCACGATCCTTTCCAGCTGTTATTCTGTCTTCTGTAAATATATTTTATTCCTGTTCATGCCTGTGGATGGCTTTTTAAAGCATATGGGATGATTTGTCCACAAACCTATGCCACTACCCTTTTATTTATTTTTTTTCACTCAAAACTAAACTATTCCTAAAAGAAAAAAACAGCTTCCCAGTATATTGGGATAGTAATTCCCAAAGTGGCTGTCAGGAACTGCAATCCCAGCACATCTGGAGGGCTCCAGGTTGGAGTTGGCCAAAAGGATGTTTGACTCAAAGGCTGTTTTTTCTTCTTCTTCCTCTTCTTTTAAACAGTGCATGACCCCGGAGCAGCTGATGACTCTGTGTGACACTGGAATTCAAAGCACAAACATCAGCGTCCGAATCAATGTTGTTAGCATTTTAGGAATTGCTGGGAGTGTGCTTGCCAAAGTGGAAGACACCACTGAGACACTCAAGGTAAAGTCAGTTGCCATCTTGCTTTTAATGGGGATGTCAATTGTTTGGAAGGCAGTGGATGGAAACTAATTAAGGAGAGAAGCAACTTGGAACTAAGGAGAAATTTCTTGACAGATTTCCTGGCAAGTGGAACAACTTGCCTCCAGAAATTGTGGGTGCGCCAACACCGGAGGATTTTAAGAAGAGATTGGACAGCCATTTGTCTGAAATAGTATAGGTTTTCCTGCTTAAGCAGGGGGTTGGACTAGATAGAAGACCTCCGAGGTCCCTTCTAACTTTGTTATTCTGTTATTCTGTTCCCCCCCCCCTTTGGATTCTACATTTCTTTGTTGTTCCAGAACATCGGAAAATTCCTCCTCAATGTTGTAACGAAAGACTCTTCCCTTGTGGTGGTGGGAGAAGCCTTGGATGCCCTCTTCGATGTTTTTGCCGATGGCAAAGAAGCGGAAAAGGCAGCGGAGGAAATAAAATTGCTTTATGCGCTTAAGGAATTCCAGCCCATTTTCAAGTCACGGGTGAGCATGCAGTGTCCTCGTTGAGTGGGGAGAAAATGAGGAGCTAAGGTGGTTTAGGAAAGCATCTGGGTTACACATCTGAACAGCTAACCGTCTTGCCCAGTTGCATTCATTCATTGATTTCCTGAAAATCCCAGTATCGACTTTATTTTAAAATCCCCACATTACTAGTCCTCGTGGTTTCAGCAATGCATTTTGAAATGGGATAGCTAGACTTTTTGTTACTGGCAACTCTGCCTGATATTTATTTATTAAAAAAATAGAAAGTTGGGGGGGCTATAAAGATGTAGAAACAGGCAGGTCATGGATATTGTTTCCGTTTAATTTTATTTCCTGGGATAAGGAATTTGGATTGTCTGTCTGTCTATATGTCTGTCTATCTTATCATATCTATTGTCTGTCTATCTACCATCTATTGTCTGTCTATCTATCGAGCTATCTATCATCTATCTGTCTATCTAATATCTATTGTCTATACTATATTGTCTATCTGTCTGTCTGTCTGTCTATCTATCTATCTATCTATCTATCTATCTATCTATCTATCTATCTATCTATCTATCTATCTATCTATCTATCTATCTATCATCTATCTGTCTATCTAATATCTATTGTCTGTCTGTCTATCTACCTACCTACCTACCTATCTATCTAATCACTGATTAACTAGAGTTTGGCCTATTTAGAGCTTCCGCAGATGTTTTTGTACATTTCTCTTCTCAAAATAATGAGAAATTATGACTAAAGAAAATGTTGGCTGAGTCTTGGAGCTTTTTGCCCCCCCCCATGCCAGGCCAGTTTTTTAAAAAACAAGGCGCTCCTGACACACACACACACATACACCATAATAGATGCACATACCTGGCCAAAAAGGACAGAAAACCAAGAAGATAAGTTAATTATGTGTGTACTCGTTGCAGAATAACCAGATCACTACAGCTTTGGCATGACTCCAAGACAAGGGAAGGGAGAGTTTACATCAACTGACATGAAAATAAGTCTCACTTGTGTTTCAGTAATAACACTTCACACATTTGATTGCATCGGTTCTGTTTTTCAGTGGATTTCACTTAATGGTTTAGAGGCTGGAAGTAGGCGAAGTGGCTCAGACAGACACTTCTCTCTATGTCACACGAGTATAGGCAAGGCAGTAAAGGATAACCAGACACATACAAGATTCTGCTACAGGTAGTCCTTGACTTAAGACCACAATTGAGCTCCAAATTTTTGTTATTAAGCGGGACAACTGTTAAGTGACTGTTGCCCCATTTTACAGCCTTCCTTGCCTCAGGTATTAAATTAATCACATTGTTAAGTCAGTCTGGCTTCCCCATTGACTTTGCTTATCCGAAGGTCGCAAAAGGTGATTACATAACCCCGGGATATTGCAACCGTCATAAATACGAGTCAGTTGTCAAGTGTTTGAATTTTGATCATGTGACTACTGGGGGGGTTGTGCTGCAACAGTCATGTGAAAAAGTCACATTTTTCAGTGCTGTTGTTAATTTCGAACGGTCACTAAACAAACTATTAAAGTCAAGGGCTATCTGTACTGTACCTGTATTAAAATAAGCCATTCTTTTGGAGTTGATTTTCTTGTTTTGGTCTACACAGTGGGGTTGACGAGGCTGTGTCTTTTTTTAACTGCAGATGCGAAAGGAAGGCAGAGGACAGTACAACACAGAACAACTGTGCGTTCTAGACAACGTGAAGTTGAATTTAAGAAGATTTATTGCCTATCAAGAGACGTTGGATAGAAAGAAAAAAGTTTTGGAAGAGAAATAGGATGGAAAGCACTATTTTTGATATAGTTTATCAAATGTTTTAACCGTGGATTCTATAGGACCTTGTAGTAACAACTAGTGGGAGACAAGGGTGGTGGTCTGCTTTTCCTACTATGTGTCTTATATTGAAGGGGGACAGAGAAAAGTGCTAAAATGAATTCAGCACCGCAAAGGGTCAAAATTTGTCCTTAAAAAGTGGTGGAATATTTTAATTTTCTGTTCTTAGAAAAAGAATGAGCAAAAAAATCCAAAATAAAAAAAAAGAGATTATGATGGAAGTGTCCATTTTGTTAATATGGACAAAATAATGTGATTTCCTTGATTATATACTTCAGAGTTTTCTGTTTTGTTTTTTTAAGTAAAAGTACAATGTAAAAAACAGGATAAAATATTGTTCCTGGGTGATTTCAGTTTTCTCAGTGCCCAAATATGAAGACTTTTCCTACTTCTTTTTAAAAAAACGTTTTATAGATAACAGCCAAGTTCACACATTGTATTTTTCTAATATACATAATATACAGAAGTATATTTCTTCATATTGTATTTGAAATCCTTTAGCCCAAAGCTGTTAAAATGCAAAATAACTACGTTTTCTACCAAAAGGAATCTATGTTTTGTGTTTGGATTCAGTGCTGGTGAACGATAGCAATAAAATAATTGACATTCCTATAATTTATGATAGTTGTACTGGATAAACTATGATAAAACAGAGTAAATTATAAATTGTGGTACCCTGGGTAAATTGACACAACTTGGGGCACTGTCAAATAATGTATTGCTGTGTGTAGCCTGAACAAGCCTTTTACCATATTCCGATTAAATAGCCTTTTAGCTAAGTTTCTCTCCATTCAGCCAAGAGGCTGGATCAAATGAAGGCCAGCTAATAAAATAAAAATAAAAATAAGAAAGCCTTAATGAACTCATTCCAGCAACCAATAAGGTTCAGGATCAAGCAGTCTCATGTACCATCAGTATGGATGTTTCTATCCCTTGTTGGCTGCACGTGGGCTGCTCCACCCTTGTTTCTGCAAGTTGGATTTACTATCATTTAGCTTTCACTGACTGCGAATTCTCACGTTGAGTCATAGCCCAGGGTTACAATCCATTCTTGGCAGCCTGGCGTTTGAACTGATGTGATCCTAGTATTTCCATGTGGGTTGAACAAATTCCTCCCTTAAAACGTGGAGAGCTGTTGCCAGCCAGTTGGCCTGATTTAGCGTAATCCAGGCTTCTCACTTGACTATTATGATGGCTATCGGGAAGAGTTGCGACAGGTATGAGGTGGTAATATCAGGAGCAAAGAATCAGGACCATGCCTTAAGTTCCAGTCAAACTGATTTATTGCTCATGCATATGCACAAAAATGTAGTCAACGGTCAGCACTACATTGGCGCTAGATAAGAATTAACGGAATTCAAGGAGGGCTGGACTTAGACCACTTGTGAGAAAGTAATGATTCCAGGCGGATTCCTCTCTTGATTCCACCCCCAGGCTCTGCCTCTCCTCCTACAGGTAGTAGAGTAAGACAATTTCAGAACTGGGTTACTGAATGATTGCAACCAGTGTGATTCACATTCTAAGGGGTAGCTCTAAAAAAATTGTTGAACAAATCATAACAAAATATCTTGTGCTGGGAAACAGTGACGTGGCAGTTTGGTCTGTTGGCTAAGCTGCTGGACTAGGAGTGGGGAAACCGAGTCCTGCTCCTTCCTAATAACCCTTTGGGTAATCTTTGGACCAGTTCTGTCTTAGTCCTAAAAAGGGCTTCTAAAATGGCTGCCAATAGAACCATATGGACATTTCCCCGTAGTCCCCAGGTGTCACTGATTCAAAGGCATCCTCTGATTTTTTTTCCAAATCATACTAAATATTTGATATTTCTTGTTGTACAATACAAACATGGGATAAGTAGCTGCTTCAGAATAATTTTCTGGGACATGGGTGGAACGTCATTGTTGCAATTGCACTATTCAAAGCAATTTTAATCATAAAATTGGAAAAGGGGAGGTTGAAATCAGAATTGGAACAAAGAGGCTAATAAAACTCACTTAACTCCCCCCCCCTTTAGATTTGGACAGATTCAGACATGCATGACATGTCCAAACAACCCTTTTCAAACCAACTAGGAATCTGAAACGTATTGGTAAAATGTTATTATTTTAATGGACACTGTACTGAGTAATACATCTTTGAAGTATTACATATTGTAAAGATTTTGAAATACATCGATAATTGCAAAATTCCCTTTTCACACATGAAAACAGGCATGTGTACATAATACACGTGACTACATAGATACATTTGAGCTCTTATTTGGAGCAAAGTTGGAAAAAACTAAAATGTGTACTTAATAGATGTTCCTTTGGCCTTTTTGATTTTCGAGATACTGTCCAAGAGATGATTTGCAAATCAAAATCTTCCCTCAAAGTGATTAACCACAAATGCACTATAAAATGGAAAGAAAAAGCTACATTAAATAAATCTGACATCAGGCTTTGATACTCTGGATTAGGAGACACAATTAACATGATCTCTAAATATAAGGGTAGTTTAATTTTGTGGTGGCTTTGATCATGCCTGGAATTTTGGCAGTGGTCTCAAGCAATTATTGGCTTAAATAGGTTGAGATTCTCAAAATGTTTTCAGATTTGCTTTTATTTAGTATGCACGCATATACGTGCAAAAGAAGGAAGGCAAGAGACTTGAGGGGGTGAAAAAAGACCTGTAATTATCTCAGTTTTGAACCTTAAGCTTTGCCGAGTCAATAGTTTGAGCTACTGCATTTAATTTGGACAGTCATTGATGTGGGATCCTATTGGGATCCACCAAAATGCCCTGAGGACATCTCCTTAACGTTTACAAAGAAAGCCCTCTGGGATTAGGATTAGTTTGAAAACAAGAAATGGAGAAGACTAGGCCGCAAAGCTAAGCATCAACAGTGGGGTCCTTCGTGTTTTGAGCTTGGTTGTTTCCTTGCAGACATTTCATTACCCAAGTAGGTCACATCATCAGTGTTAGAAGAGAGTGCCTACTAGATTAATCAATTAAGATCATCTTGCTAGCACTGATGATGTTACCTAGTTGGGTCATGAAATGACTGCAAGAAAGCAACCAAGCTCAAAGAGCACCAAGGACCAGCAGTTCAACTCTGAGTTACAAATACACTTTTTTTTTTAATTGTTATTCCCAGTCGCATTGATTTCTAAGAATGGCCTTCAACTGCAGATGGCCTCCTGGAACATCCTGAGAAGGTAAAAATGGCTGTGGAGTCCTGGGCTTGTAGGTATGCGCACCTGTTCAGAAGAAAAGGGTAAAGATTACCTACGTAGAATCAAGCAAATCCCCCCGGCTTTCTATGATAGTTTGGATTTCTGCCATTTTTGTTATTTGCCCACAGTATGTAATAAGAAAAGTTATTATATAAATTAAATGAATGAACAAAACCTCCCTTCAATGAAGGTTTACTACTTCTGCCATTTTAATTCTCTTTGCCCAGCCTCATTCGGAGTTGGGTGGAATATAAATTAGATAAATACATGAATGAACCTCCTTTCTATGAAAAGTCCCAAATTTCTCTTTTTTCCTCTTTTTCTTAACCATTTCTAAAATGGCCCAGACACCTGCTTCATCTCTTACCTATCTCATCTCTATATCTCTTATCTGTATGTATGTATGCAAGTGTCTATCTACATATATAGTATCTATCTATCTATCTATCTATCTATCTATCTATCTATCTATCCACACACACACACACAAATGTTATATGTATGTAAATGTAATAAACCAGCGAACCCCTCAGGTTCAAAACAGGGACTCGGGATAAACCCTCCTGAACCCCTCCTGACCACCTTGACCCGTCCCCCCAATATACTGGGAAAGCTCGGGGCGCCCCTGCAAAGCGAGGCCTCCTCCCGCGGCCCAGCGCCCCGAAGGGCCCTTTGAGGCGGGCGGCCTCCCTCCGGGGCTCCGCCGCGCTCCCCCTCGTGCCCGGCCGCGGACGATCCGTCTCCATCCCAGGCTGCGGGGCAGGCAGGGGCGGGGAGGACCCGCCGGGCGACCCCTTCCCCGCGTGGGCGACCCTCCGCCGCGGCCGCCGCCCGGCCTTCTCCTTCGCCCTCCCACGCCTTTATTACGCGCGGCCCGGGCGGCGGCGGCGGCGACGACGGCGGCCGCCTCTTTGGCAGGGCCCCGCCTCGCTCGCCTCTCGCTCCGCGCTCCTGGCCGGGAGGGGCGGCCAAGCAGTAGCAGCCGCCGCCGCCGCAGAAGCCTCGCTTCCTCCCCGCCAGTCGCCCGGCTTCCCCGCCGTCTTTGCCGGGAGACGCCCGGCCGGCCGCGCGCGGGTCCTCCTCCTCCTCCTCCTCTGGGCTTCTCCGCCTCGCCGCTCCCCGCAGGGCGCCGCGCTCCCGAGAGGCCGGCGGGGCTGGGCCTGCCTGGCCCGGCGGCGGCAGCGGCGGCGGCGGGCAGGAGGAGGGCGAGGAGGAGGAGCCGCCGCCGCTGCCGCCCCGTCGCTCTTGGGCCGGCTCGCCGTTTGATGGATCCCCGGATCGCCTGGTTCCAGCCAGAGCAGCTCGGCCCCTCGAACCGCCTGTGGATGCAGATTTGGGAGACCACGCAGGGGGTCCGCAACCTCTACTTCCAGCAGCAGCAGCAGCAGCCGCTGCCGCCGCCTCAGCCCGCCGCCCCGGCCTCCTCCTCGACTTCTTCGTCCTCCGCCTCCGCCTCCTCGGCCGCCTCGTCGTGCAGCAGCAGCAGCAGCTCCCCGTCGACCCCGGTGGCCGCCGCCGCCGCCGCCGCCGCC